AGTTATTGCTAAAGAAAAAAAGATTAAAGGTTATTATAAACTTAGAAAAAACGAATTAATCAAAGTATTAACACCAGTCCCCAAACCAAGAAAGAGTGTTAAAGAAATGGTTAAAGAGTATGAGAACAATACACAGATGCTATCAGATAAAAATAAGAAACCAGTACCAACACCTAGAGTTAAAATAAGAGTAACAAACAATGCTATAAAAGGATACACTAAATCATATGAAATAAGCATTATTAGCAATAAAGCACCATTAATACAAATGCAAAGCACAAGAAAGTATCTTACATATTATATTAAAGAATTATTAACAACAATTAAAGGATTAAAATTTGTTGAAACTCTTAAGGTAACATTTGAAAAATTTGAAATAAAAGATGGTGGTACTGCTGGTTTTTTAACAAAAGTTGCTTATTTTAACAGTAAAGCTTTAACAATTACAAATAATGAAAATATTACTGAATCACTACAAATTTCAGAACAAAATATATTAAATAAGATTAGTAAATTTACACAAGAAGGTTCTGGATGGGTTATTCGCTCTATAGATAATCATTATCTTAATGTTGTTAAATACAAGCCATTACAAGGGTCTTCATACATTAATTTACCACAAGAACTTAAAAACTCTAAAAGGGTTTGATAAATATCAAAAATAAAGATAATGAATGTTTTATGTGGTGCCATATTAGATATTTAACCCACAAAATAAATACCCACAACGAATAAAAAAATCTGATAAGGAATATATTGAAAAGCTTAATTATGAAGGAGTTGAATTTCCAGTGGCTGTTAAACATTATAATAAAATCGAAAAGCAAAATAGAATTAACATTAACGTTTTCGGATATGAAAATAAACAACCATATCCATTATACATTTCAAAAGAAAAATTTGAAAACCATATGGAACTACTATTGATAACTGATAATGAAAACAAACATTATATTCTAATAAAAATTTTAATGCATTTATGTACAATCAAACAAAACATAAAGAAAGAAAACATTTTGTATGCGCTGTCTTCAATGTTTTAGTTCTGAAAAATATTAAATAACCATATAGAAAACTGTATATTAATAAATGGTATACAATCAATAAAAATGCCTGATAAAAATAATAACATACTTAAATTCAACAACTATCATAAACAACAAGCTGTTCCATTTGTTATATATGCTGATTTTGAAGCTATTACAGAAAAGATATCTGGTTGTAACCAAAATAATAGAACATCATATACAGAAGCCTATCAGAAGCATACTGACTGTGGCTATGCATATAAAGTTGTTTGTTGTTATGATGATCAATTTACTAAACAAATTCAACTATATAGAGGTGAAAAGGCTGTTTACAAATTTATGGAAGCTATGTTAAAAGAAGTTAAATATTGTAAAAATATTATGAAAACCCACTTTAATAAACCATTAAAATGACCTCTGATGATGAAGAAGAATTTAAAAAAGCTGATGAATGTCATATCTGTAACAAAAAATATACTAACAAAGATATTCGAGTTCGAGACCATTGTCATATCACTGGCAAATACAGAGGCTCGGCACATCAAGATTGTAATTTAAAACTTAGAATAGACTCTGATAAATTAAAGATCCCAGTAATATTTCACAATCTACGTGGGTATGACAGTCACTTCATTATGCAAGAGATCGGAGCTATTGTTAATAAGCATACATACAAAACAAAAAGGTGAGGAAACATATGAATATAAATGCTATACCTAATAACATGGAAAAATATATGGCTTTCATGTTAGGTAACCATTTAACATTTCTTGATAGTTTTCAATTTATGAGCTCTAGTTTAGAAAAGCTTGTTAGTAACCTACCTAAAGAATCGTTTAAATACACCTCTAAGCAGTTTAAAGGTGAAAAATTTAATTTAATGACTCAAAAAGGTATATACCCATATGATTATATTGATAGCTTTGAAAAGTTTGATGAGAAGTTGCCTTCAAAAAAAGATTTTTATAGTATTCTTACTGATGAAAATATATCAGATGATTCTTATAATCATGCTCAAAAAGTGTGGAATACATTCAATCTCAAAAACATGGGTGATTATCACGACCTGTATCTGAAATCAGACGTTTTATTATTAGCAGATGTATTCGAAAATTTTCGAACAACATGTCTTGAATACTATAACTTAGACCCATGTCATTATTTTACATCACCAGGGCTGTCGTGGGATGCTATGCTTAAAATGACAGATATTAAATTAGAATTAATGACAGATATTGATATGTTTCAATTTATTGAAAAGGGTATGAGAGGAGGTGTTTCTTATATTTCTAATCGATATGGTAAAGCTAATAACAAGTATATGGAAACATTTGATAAGAATAAACCATCAAAATATATAATGTATCTTGACGCAAACAATTTATATGGATGGGCTATGTCACAATACCTACCTACTAGCGGTTTCAAATGGTTAACTGATAAACAGATTAACAACATAAATTTAGCCACATATAAAGAAGATAATAAAAAAGGTCTAATTTTAGAAGTTGATTTAGAATACCCTGAAGAACTACATAATTTACATAACGATTATGCTGTTGCACCAGAAAAGGTTAAAGTAACTAGTGATATGTTGTCAAAATATTGTAAGACAATTGCTTCTAATTACAATATATCAACAGGTTTAGTTTCAAAATTAATACCTACATTACAAAATAAATACAAGTATGTACTGCATTATAGAAATCTTCAATTATACTTAGATCTTGGGTTAAAATTAACTAAAGTACATAGAGTACTTGAATTTAATCAATCTCCATGGTTGAAAAAATACATAGACTTTAATACTCAAAAAGAACTAATGCAAAAATTCTTTTGAAAAGACTTCTTCAAATTAATGAATAATTCGGTATTTGGTAAGACGATGGAAAACTTACGTAAAAGAGTAGATGTTAGACTAGTAACTAATAAAGATAAATTATTAAAATTGGCTTCAAAACCTACTTATGTAAGTAGTAAAATCTTCAATGAGAACCTTGTGGCTGTGCATAAGATCAAAGAAACACTAACCCTTAATAGGCCGGCATATGTGGGTATGTGCATTTTAGATTTAAGTAAAACGTTGATGTATGATTTTCATTACAATTATATCAAGAAGCGGTATGGTGATAAAGCTAAACTTCTTTTCACAGACACAGATAGTCTAACATATGAAATCGAAACTGAAGATGTCTATAAAGATTTTTGGGTTGATAAAGATAAATTTGATACTAGTGATTACCCAGAATACCATAAATATCATGATAAAACTAATAAAAAAGTTATTGGTAAAATGAAAGATGAAGCTGCTGGAATAGTAGTTAAAGAATTTGTTGGTTTAAGAAGTAAGATGTATAGTTATATTAAAGACAATAATAAAGGAGATAAGAAAGCTAAAGGAATTAAGAAAAATATTATTAAAAACAAAATAAAACATGAAGACTATAAACAAACACTATTTGAAAATAAACAAATACATCATACAATGAAAACTATTAGAAGTGTAAACCATCAACTTAGTAGTTATGAAATTAATAAAGTTTCACTAAGCTGTTTTGATGATAAACGGTATATATTAGATGATGGTATAACTACTAGAGCTTATGGTCATTATTTAAATGATAATTAAAACTTATTTTAATATACAGTTATAATGTGTAGTAAGCATGTAGCGTGGGCCTCTGTTAGAGTAAAATCATACATACCTGCTCCTCATGTTTGACTACATATCACATAACTGTTTGTAATAAGTAATTAATACAAAAGCGATATACAAAAGAATTCAAAATCCTGAAACAATTATTAAAAACACTTTTAACAAAAATTATATAAAACATATAGATTCCATATTTTGTAAAGAGCATCTATGACATTGTTGCGCTCAAAATTTCAGGCTTAGTTGCCTGAAATTCTTCGCCCCTAACAACGATTTAAAAAGATGCTTTATTAACACTTGATTATTAACACTTGATTATTATACATGCGCTGATGAAATGTGCTATCTACATTAAACAACCATTGTTAAGAACATGCACTAAGACACGCGCGCTGCTACTGATATTTTAATAACACTTGATTATTAACACTTGATTATTATACATGCGCTGATGAAATGTGCTATCTACATTAAACAACCATTGTTAAGAACATGCACTAAGACACGCGCTGCTACTGATATTTTAATAACACTTGATTATTAACACTTGATTATTAAAGACGGTTTTTAAGAGCATTTCTTAAGCCTCTGTTATTCTCGAATTCTTCGAATTCTTCGAATCTAAGGGGAACCCGAATTTTCACTTCGTGAAAATTTTCCCCACCTGTTCCAGAATTCTCGGGGATCCATTCCCTGCTCGATCACTTCGTGATCTGCGCTGCCGATCCCCTCGAACCGATGCTTTCTTAACATTTGTTTGTAAAGACCGTTTGTAAAATTTAAACGCACCTATATATTTCAAAAACATATAGATTCCATATTTTGTAAAGATGTTTTATTAACACTTGATTTCTAAAGATAGTTTTTAAAGAGCATATATTAAGCCTCTGTCGTCCTTCGGACCCACGGGGGCGAGCCCCGAAAATTCTAGCTAAAGCTAGAATTTTTTACCCACCAGGGCTCGCATGAATTCTCGGCGATCCCATCCCCCTGCTCAATTTTAGCTACGCTAAAATTTGCGCTGCCGGATCGCCTCCGAACCGATGCTTTATTAACATTTGTTTATAAAGATAGTTTTTAAAACATATAGATTCCAAATTTTGAAACGACAGATTGTAACCTCGAGATTTTTACCCCCTTTGAAACAATGACTTTTTTTTACGTAGCTTTTTTACATGACCTTTTACTGAGGGACGCCTTTTTAACCATGGTCTTATTTTAAGCTATTATAAAGAAAGTTTTTATCCAAGGTTATATGTAGTATAGTACATGGGGCGTATGGGATAAAAAAAAGTAAACTTTTTTTGATCCCCTACCCCCATGTACTATACTACTGAGCTATTTTGAATGAGCTATTCAAAATAGCCGTAACTCCAATATTTTGCGATATAGGTTCTGCGCGTGCGTATTTCTGCGCATGCGCGTTCGTATTTCTGCAAATGCGCAGTGGAAATCGCAGTAACTCCAATAATTTGCGAGATAGGTTCTGCGCATGAAGTACGCTCGCGAGCTCTTTCGAACGAGCTATTAAAATCGTCGTAACTCCAATATTTTGCGAGATGGATTCTGCACATGCGCGAGGGGACTTCTGCGCATGCGCAGTGTTATCTACTAAACTATTTTTTACTCTAAAAATTATATATTACAAAATAATCTAATAACGTTAAAATAATGATTTTACACAACCTTGACAAAAAAATTGGATTAACATTTTTTATTTAGAATTGGTTGCCTTTAATAAATTAAAGACATAAACTTAAAAAATTGAAGCTTTTGTTAAAAAATGAGTGTCTTAAAAAATACTTATACAAGTTGAAAACAGTATAATAACGTTAATATCATGAATTAAGCACATATTTACTAAAAAAGTAAGACTAGAATTTTTTTTGGAAATTGCAAAAGTTTTTCAGCACTCAAAAATCTTACTTCTAAATACAACTACTTCTTTGCTTACCTGCATATCCACTTATGTCCCGACTTCAAGCTTCAGCATTTTTCTTTGACTTGATTCATGAAGTAAAGATCCTAAAGAAAAATTTGACAGAAGTTACACATGAAAGGATGTTATTCATTGTCTTCATTCATGTCTTCATTTAATTTTAAGAAGTTACACAGATAAAAAGCTCGAAATCTCATTAAATCCCCTATTTCGGTTGATTTAAGAAGATAAATCGTATTTCATGGATGATACTGTGATTTGAAGACAGTTAGATTTATCACTCAATCGGATATCATGAATGTTAAATCAATGTTTTAATACCGACCTGTAAACTCTTCAACGGTCGTTAACTTCCTTCAATAGGGAGCTTTAGCTAGAGTACGACTACGACAACGAGTACGAAGTTTGACCGTATAAGGGAATGGCACAAGGAAGTTTGTTGTCGTTGTCGCTTTGTCAAAATTTAGTTTTAGCTATAAACAACAAAACGAGCCTTTTTATTGTGTGAAACACCGAAGTTTGCGAAGCAGCTTCAATAATGATATCAACTAATCGGTAATACTGATTTTGCGAGAACATAGGACTTTTCAGAGTGAAAAAATCTTTACTATTTTAAATATTATGTACGATATCTTTATACTATTTTATTGTTTGTTTACCGTTCACTTTGCGTACGAAATACATGAAAGTTTTCAAGGTCATATTTTCCTTTTAAATGTACACATGCACTCAAAAAGGTTCTAAAGTAAAGCCTGTATGCTCGAAAATAGTACTGTAAACTAATTTCTTACACAATAAAAAAATATACCTACTTTCTTTGCTTAAAAAGACATCGTAGTCGCGACTACGAATTTTTTACAAAACATCGTACTCAGATTGATGAAGGCTCCGTGTTGTTGTCGCAACAATGTTTTCGCGCCAAAATGACGTAATTCGTACTCGTAGTCTTTGCTAAAGCCCGCCGCACACTGGAGGAACTTGCCTACGCCAAGTGTCATTCGTGATACTTGGCGTAAGCACTTTCCTCTAGTGTGCGGTGCCGTTTGGAGCGCTTTTTGTCACGCGTGTCACTTGCATCTGATATTCAACATGTTGAATAATTTTTGCCACGAGTGATACTTTACTCCAAGTGTGCGGTGAACGAAAGCTTCTAGCTTACAGCTTCAATCTAATACGCATGCGTTGTGTGCACTCTGATACAAACATGGCGGCTGCAGCGTGCGAAACGTACGACTCAGACTCAGATTCATGCGAAGAAAATTCAAGCTCGTCCGAAGATAATTCATATTCATCCGAAGATGAAGAGATATTGTTACTTCTTCTATTATTACGCCGGCGGCGAAGACGACTTAGGGCCAAAAAGCGAAAGATTTGGACGAAGAAGTGGATTTTACGTCGTGAGTCTCAAGGGGCATTCGCCAATCTTATTCGTGAGATCAATGTAAAAGACCCAGAAAAATTTAGGCAATATCATAGGGTTGAACGACGTTCGTTCGAGGAGATTTTAGGTATAGTGTCGCCACATATTGAGAAAAAAGATACACAACTGCGAGCTTCGATTAAGCCTTCTGAGCGTTTGTCAGTAACTTTACGCTTTCTTGCAACAGGTATCAAACAACAAACAACATTTGTATACCGGCCAGTATTAATCCCCGCCAGGGGGGTTGACCGGTCCATGAATTTTTCCACGCCAAACGTCTCTATCTCTCGCCATATCTCTCGTTATACCCATCGCCTTCATATCACTGTTCACAGCATCCATCCATCTCTTTCTCGGTCTACCTCGTTTGCGGACTCCATCAACATTCATATGCAACGTTCTACGAATTTCAGCACTTTCTTCCCTCCTTTCCACATGCCCAAACCACCTCAAACGCTGGCGCCTTGCAACAGGTATGTCTAAACTTAAAAACAATTTAAGTATCCTTTCACCTTTTGACAAACCACAGACTTGCAGGGTATGACTTTCTGCTTTTGAGCAGATTTGTTACCTTTGAAAGGAGGAGTGGAAGGATTTTATGTCGCATTATTCATTCACTTGTTGAGTAGGTTTTCTAATGTGTTGATGGGTTCATTAATGCTAAAGTAGTGTTATAATGCATCCTATGAAGCAGCCAGGGTATAATGTATTGTTATTAAAACATGCCTAGGAGAATCTTTCAGAAGCTTGTCCTTCCAGTACCGAATAGGAGAAAGGACTATCTCTGGGATTGTAGAAGACACTTGCAAAGCATTGTATGTATTAAAAGAAGAATATTTGAAGGTTTATCTGAACATGTTTTATTTAATAAATGTGCAATGAACTGTTTGACTATACTTCAAGCCACATCATCATCTGTCAGTTTGAAGACCACCTATTTTGATTAAATATAGTTGATTCTTCTCGTAAGGAATTATGTAGCGGAGGACTTGCTTAGTTGAATGGAGATGTGGGATAGTTGTTTGTCGAGGGAATGTGATATGATTGTATGGGCGAAATTGGTTGTATTTGGTTGTACCACCACTGCTTGTTGTGAATCCTGAGTTAGCATTCCAGTTTGAGCCTGGAATATAATATTGTTTATTTGATGTTGGGCCAGATGACGTGTTGCACTGTCCAAATCTGATAGTGCTTGAGATACATATTTTCCAAATGCATCATATTGTTTTTTTGAAGTTTCATCAGGTTTGGGTTTCTTGTTTCTTTGAGAAATTGAATCAGAAAGATTTTTTATCAAGGAATATTCGTGATCAGCTTGCCTCTTTTTTGTGTTAATTTGCCTGGATTTGAGTGGTTCTTTTGTTGACTTTACTATTTCAATTGTGTCAGTATCATTGTTTTCCCATGATTCATTGTCAATTGAGAAATTGTCATCTTCAATGCTGTCATCAAGCTCTACAGTGCTGAGATCTGATGTAGGTGTTGTACATGACACCTAAACAAAAAGATTGTTCATTTTTAGACTCCTTGCAAAGAAGAAGATTGGTTGAAAATTGTTGGTGACTTTGAAAGCAAGTGGAACTACCCATGCTGCATAGGTGCCATAGATGGAAAACATATTAGTATCCAGCAACCTACTGCAAGTGGATCAGAGTTTTTTAATTACAAACATTACTTCAGTGTTATTCTCTTGGCCTTGTTGATGCTAATTAGAAGTTCATTTATGTGGATGTTGGAGCAGCAGGTCGTTCTGGGGATGCTGGAGTATTCAGAGATTCTGCATTGAAAAGGGCATTATCATCCAACATTTTAAATCTTCCCTCTCCACAAAATGTACAAGGGATAGCAACAAAAATACATTGTCACATTGTTGGCGATGATGCATTTCCCATGTCAACCAACCTGATGAAACCTTATCCTCATCGTAACTTAGAAAAGGACAGCATTTTTAACTACAGATTGTCAAGCACGCCGGTAGTTGAAAATGCTTTTGGCATATTTGCACATAGATGGCGAGTGTTTTTAACCACTATCAAACTGACCCCAGACAAAATAACCGATATTATATTAGCTGCCTGTTGCTTGCACAATTACATGATCAACAAGAACAAAGCAACATATACCGTAGCAGTTGACCAAGAGAATGCAGATCACACAATATCACCTGGAACTTGGACGAATGACCCAAACTTAACTGACATGCAGCGTACATTAGTGCATAATACATCTAGAGGTGCAAAAGTTCAACGTGAACTGCTAACAATTTATTTCAACAATGATGGAGCAGTGCCATGGCAAAACCGAATTGTTGATATGTCATAAATTTTAGTTACATATAAATATTTCAAGAGTATTTAAACCCAATGAAAAATGAATTTAACTGATTTATACATGTCTTTGAGTGTAAAATTCCATACCGTATCCAAGTTGGAAACAGACGCCCTAAAAGCCACGTGGGGAGCTAAAAACTGTAATTTCTCCAACAGCCACGTTGACCGTTTCGTAGGATTTTTCCTAGCACTCCCACTTGCTGATGGTTTCTTGGCTTTCACGTAACTATTTCGTAATGCTTTCAATTTAGATTTTAACCATGCAACTGCAAAATAAGCGCTAATAATCACTAAGACATTTCACAGTTGAATCAACAAATTCAATTGAATTTGACTTACCAGTTTGACCCAATTTTTCAGCCAATTCTTCCAAAGCACGCTCTCTCATTTCTCTATTTTTAAACTCTGGTGACCTAACATCGTATAGGCATGGGTATTCAGGCCACAAATCAGCGATTTGGTCTTCCAAAATTGCTTCGGCAACAACTGCACTGGTAGAGCTGGGGCTCGCCGCCATGTTTGTTTTGTTGTATCAGAGTGCACACAACGCATGCGTATTAGATTGAAGCTGTAAGCTAGAAGCTTTCGTTCACCGCACACTTGGAGTAAAGTATCACTCGTGGCAAAAATTATTCAACATGTTGAATATCAGATGCAAGTGACACGCGTGACAAAAAGCGCTCCAAACGGCACCGCACACTAGAGGAAAGTGCTTACGCCAAGTATCACGAATGACACTTGGCGTAGGCAAGTTCCTCCAGTGTGCGGCGGGCTTAAAGCTCTCTAATGCTGAGTTTGTGAACGACTTTTTCTGTAGCTTCCAAATAATCGTTCATTAGACATGATGAACTCACTGTAACGCCTTATATCTCGATAATTCTACAAATAATACAATATTTCACACAATACGATAAACTACTTCGAAAAACTCTTCAACATAGCGCGGAAGGAACAACAAAGTTAGATAACCAATCATCAAATGTAATTGGTCAAAAATGGTCACATGCTACTTTGGTTGTTATTAAAACCGTTACCAAACTTAATTGGTCAAAAATGCTCACGTGTTACTTGATATGGCAAGCCAGAGACGCAAGACATGCAAATTGTCAAACCGTGGAAAGAATGAAGGATAGTACACAGGTTCATATATTTTCATCGTCATTATTAATAATCAAACTTAATGTACAGACTATAAGGGAGTTAAAAGTGTTATGAGTAAAGGACTTTGATTGGACTAAAAGAACAATCAGAATGAAAAATGTTTATAAGGGTTGAAGAAAGTCCCGACTATAAAAGACGTCACTCAGACAATAGAATAATCAAACTAAAGAACGCTTGAGGAGACATGTCCAAAATACATAAAGCAAGCAACAGCTTTAAATACATAATCGTTTTCAACTGTTCATGAAACAAATAATAAACAGCCTCGTTTTAATCGATGTCCTTCAATATAATCTCACCACACAGCTCATAAATATCTCTGGTTATCCTTTCGTTTTTACCAAGGAAAATATCTTACATGCAAGTGCGGAGTAATCGAAACTGATCAGTTGATTGCGTCGACCACTTAATGCTAATACTATATACAAACTACATTACGCAGTCAAATCGTCCGCTTCAAATTTTTCGTCGTCGTAAATTGCAGCTTTGATGGTCTTTCCACCGAACCATCTCCCATTCAAATTTGCTACTGCCTGTTCAACTTCTACAACAAAGATGACATTTTCATGAAATTGCGTTATATAGTCTTAGTCTTTTTCAAAGAATGTGTATCAACCAAGATGCACTGCGCGTTAATCACAACGTGACGGCCGTTTTTTGGGTCGAGAAAATGGCGAATTTTGCTATTGTAATAATCCATGCAACTTGGACAAACGATGATGATTAATGTAAAATAAAATTTTTAATCAATTTTTTTTGCTAAATTTTCAGATAAATTAGACGATGTAGTGACGACATAGAATTCGGTATTCCGCAAGCTCAAAGACTAAAGATGTAAATACAAACAAAAGCGCGCAATGCATCTTGGTTGACGCAAAGTCGTATACCCAATAATTAACACCATATAATGTATAGGATATTTATTGTGTCTTAGGGTGACTTTATCTGAAAATATTTACTGTTATAGTTTTTCACCATTATTCTCAAGCGTGAGACCAAAAATTGACGTTTCCTAAGGCTTTTTTGACCATTGCCACACTTGGTGAACATTGATATGGCAAAATAATGAAAAATACTTACGTCCAATAATCCCAGTTTAAACAGACATAGACACATTAACCTCATAAAAACACACATTTCAGAGAATTGATCATCTCATCAACACATACGTAAAACCTACCTGCTACAGATGTGAACTTCACGAATATTTTCACTATGACAGGAGCATCGTCTTCTTCACCCTGTTTCTCTTGATAAATAACCACACGGTTCACGTTACCAAATTTACTACATTCATCCGTAACTTCACTCTGCAATTCTTCATCGACATCTTCTATGTCCACCATGTTACGTAACACCATGACGGTAGACTATAAACATTTGAAACCCCGAGTTAACTTCATGTAAAGATAGACAAAAACAGGTAAATGGCGCGGAGGCGCGAGTAACATTTCTCACGTCAAATAATAAGCAATTATTGGCGAAGCGAAGCTAAGGAGGATAACATTGACTGAGGTCTGAATAATTCTTGATATCATGCGAAAAACGAATTCAATAATTGTTTTATTATTCACTGAAGTATTATCAAACATATCAATATAAAACATTTTTCAAACCTTCACTAATTTGTTTTTGTCAGACGGTTTATTAAAGTTCGTCTCGTTTAAATATGTTGTAAATGTGTTCAAAGCCAGCTTCGTCGCTTTTTTTAGTGTTTTCCGCAGTCTTTTCCTTAAAAGCTTTCACATCCTTTTTAGAAACTGTGGCAAACATCGCTGTTGTTTGATTTGTTTTCAAAACCGGCTTTTAATGGCGGCCATATCTGTAGAAACATATATCTGTAGGTTATGACGTCACAACCTACTACAGATATCGAGAATTATCTGTAGGTAGTTGACCAATCACAGCCGAGAACGCTCACATAGTGAATAATAATACAAATTAGTTAAATGAAGATATGCGCCCTTTTGCTGGACAATTTAAGCAATTGTCTCATGAACCTGAAAAATTCAGGTGACTCAACGGGATTCGAACCCATGACCTCTGCGGTGCAGGTGCAGTGCTCTAACCAACTGAGCTATGAAGTCACACAGTGGAGAGCAGGTCAATTTTGTTGGGCTCATGTTCTCGTGAAAGGAATGTCATATGAAAGAATGTTATATGCAGTGCGGTGTTTTGAAGTTAAATGAAGATATGATCAAATCCCGTTGAGTCACCTGAATTTTTCAGGTTCATGAGACAATTGCTTAAATTGTCCAGCCAAAGTGCGAAGATCATATCTTCATTCAATTTCAAACATCGCACTGCATATAACATTCTTTCATAATACAAATTAGATCGTTGAACACAGTTCTTTGCTTCTTGTAATTGAAAAAGTATTAAGTAACAAGGCTCACAAAATAACGACTGGTCAACGAAGAATGAGCGGCCAAAAAGAGCTTGTTCATCGGCCAATTTTTTCCCCTGACGGTCATTTTGACCGACCGCATTTTTTTGTCTTTCCCAAAAGTAAAACAGTCGTGCGACGCATGGTGACATCTTGAAAGCTTAAAATGTCAAACACGAGAATTCGTTGTCTCAAAAAATTGTCTTTTTGCGTTCTTTTTTAAAGCAATTTATGCATGAATTGAATGGTTGTTGGATTGAATGGTTGTTGGTAGATGTAGATCGTCCAGGTTAGTGAAGGTTGCTGGTAGATGTAGATCGTCCAGGTTAGTGAAGTCTTGACAAAGACTGTTGGTGGTAATGTTGACTGACGTTTCGACAACCTTAGTAGTCATCTTCATAGTCAAGCGAGGACTACAGGTACAAGTTACTCTGACGAGAATTACCGTCAGGTTGTCGAAACGTCAGTCAACACCAACACTAACAGTCCTTCTTAGGACTTCACTAACAGGACGGTCTACATTTTAGTACGATGAGATTTATAGGCATTAATGAGTGGTCAAAAAACGGGGTATGGCCGAGCTAAAATGAAGTTGACCGGAGACATTTTTGCCACTTATTTTGAGCCCTGAGTATTAAGATAGAATACCTCGGACTTGCGAGAGAGTTTCTGCATGACCATGTATCGAGCGTTACTTCCTGATATTGACATGTGCTCTTCGTGACTTAAGTTGTTGTACTCTGTCATTTTCTTTTGAGTGTCCTCGTCAATTTTAGTTACTTCAAGTATCGGTTGAACAGGAGTAGCCGCAGCAACGACCGCCGGAGCAGCAACAGGAACTGCAATTGTAGGTAAAGCCTGCGCTTGAACGGCGAGCTGAGACTGAACAACTGCTGCAACTGGAGTGACGGTTTGATCATGAACAGTGGGAGTTGATGTTTGAACGAGTGGAGCTGTGTTATATACTGTGGCCATGGCAGAAATCGGAGTGACACCTTTTGAAAGAAAATTAGAAAAACAAAGAATAAACGACACTATCCTTTACATATAGCTCAACATAGCTACAAAGAACCATTTCACACAGATCTTACTTGTGAGTAGTCCTTGAGCAGGGGCAGCCATGACAGCAGTCGAAGCAGTTGGTATGACTCCGGCAAGACTGGAAACAACAGCCGTAGGTAGAGCAACGAGACCGCCAGCGGAGACAACACTGGTCATAACACTATTCGCTGATAATGTAGGTAAATTTGCAACCGTAGGATCTTGGGATTGTATCTTCGCCGAAACTGCGGCGGCAGCCATTGCAGCAGCGGCTGGGAGAGTATTTGGTGCAACCGATGAATGTGACGGAGGTGTTATGGCGCGACCAACTCGAAGAAACTGACCGCCAAGATCAAACAAATTCATTGATGCAATGGCATCGTTCGCCGATTGTTGCGTTTCATATTCTATGAAACCGAATCCTTTGTGCTTTCCCGTTATGGTGTCCGGTGTTAAAGTACAACTCTTCACTTTACCGAATGCTTCAAACACGCTAGAAAGAAGATACGACATTTTAAATAACGACAAATAAGTTTACAGGCATTCATGTATACAAAAAGCTAACTCGTACTCCTTAATAACGTCATAAAAATCTCCCTCTCTCTAACCAATGGTAAAGCGTTGTAAAAATCTCGCTCTCTCTAACCAATGGTAAAACGTCATAAAAATCTCGCTCTCTCTAACCAATGGTAAAGTCAAATATCTTCATCGATGGAAAGATTTTTTCTAAAATATCTCAAATAAACAATCGGTGTAGAGAAAGCGAGCCCGTTTTGAAGTCCCACTCGTTGAGCATGCGGGTGCGCTTTTAGAACATGGGCGTGAGATTTCAAAAACTGACCTCTTAATATCATCTTCACCAAGATCTGGATGTATCGAAGCTACATAAATTCTAGCATATTGCTGAGCTTCCCTCTCAAACTGTTCGATTAACGGTTGAGCTTGAGGAACATTACTGGGTCGTCCCACCTTTACAACGTTCAAAATCATATCATGCTTTTTAACATTTTACGAAAAAATCAAATTGAGAAATATTATGTTTTGCTACCTTAATATTTCGCCCACCCAACAGAACACTATTCATCTGTTCCAGTGCCAACATTCATCAAATTCCAGTAAAAAACAAATATAAGCAGATCAACAAAAGGACAAGGCTATGGGAAATTTGTCAGGATGCACTCCAGTGAAGGATTTGGTTGTTAAGTCAGATGGGAAGGCAGAGGGATGCTAGGGGGAGGGAAGGGGCAGGTCTCTATCTTTGGCTAAGAGGGGTGCAGTTAGGGTAGGGTGCCTTGGCTAGAAGGGGTGCAAGTTTCATAATGAAATATTACTATACATACCAATTTAGCTAAAACAAATGTCAAACTACACACTTCCCAGGGTCTCATATAGCTGGGGGATGTGACACCCTCCCCACCTTTAGACCCCTGAATAAAGTACTTTACTTGCTTAAGTCGCAAATTAAAATATTTTAGTCAAGCCAGTAACCAACAAAAATACTTCAGTCATTTCAGTAACTAAAACTAAAACATTTCAGTAACTTGAGTAACCAACCAATAACAGATAGTGACAACTATTTTCATGTATTTTTATAGAAGGTTAAATGTTACCTACACAATTTTGAAAAAAATTTGCCATCTTTCATGTACCAACCTTGTGTTTCATTGTCAATGGATCCCACGATAGATCTATCTTTTTAATAGGGCCAAATGACGAAAATGCCTGTTTGATGTGTTCTTCTCGAAGTTCGAAATTGATGCTACCAACATATATCCTGAAAAAACAACATTCAATTTTTAAAATCCACAGTTCTACATGGACAAAAACAAAAGAAAATTGAATATTTCAAAAAAATATTACAAAACTGATAGTTTACTTGGTCATTAACCTGCACATTAGGGCTAACGCTCGTTGTCGTTGTGTGACTGAGCTTACAGAGCCCATTTGTTGCTGCTGTAGAAGCTGTTGCTTCAACAATACCTACAAAAAAATTAAAACATGTTGTGCATAAAAATGCATAACCAACTTATTTTGTTCCACATATTTTAAAACCTGTTGCACAGATTGCTCCATTGCAAATCGCTTTGCTTTTTTCAGACGTTCTTCTTGATCCAGAGTTAAACCAGGTAAAGCTCGTTTACATTCTGACCATCTTGGTTGTATGCCACCAACCCCCGGACCAACTGTCAGTTCACCTTTAGTACCATCATCTTCTGGTGGATCATTGGATGCAACACCATTTCCTGCAGGAATAAATTAAAACTTCAACATATCATTTGTGGATGACGTCAGTTTAACCAATTATCAATGTTCCATAGTACATGCTGTCCAAAAGTGCAGAAACGAAAACTGGGTTACTGCCATATTACCGCAAATGTAATCTTTCCATAATCTTATCTGGTTCCGAAATAGTTTTACTGGTGCAGAAAAACTATGGTGGTGTTATAGCTACAGATAATTATTGGCTGCAAAAATATTTAATAAAGTATGTTTCCCTTTCTTCTTGTACTGGTTGTCGCAAGCATTGGTAACCCGAATTGCCTTCCTCACAACTCATTTTGGACAGCTTGTATTGCTTAATACAATGTTATCAGTTCGTTTTTCAAGTAAGTAAATCTTTTTTTCACAGCAACATGTTGACATAATTTCAAGAACTGTTTCATCATTTTACCAGCTGCCGATCACTGTGCTCCAGTCGGCAAATAAACTACAAGTAGTTATGATGTAAGAATACCAATTGCTCTTCTTGAGAAATTTTTGCCTGTCAGGTGCAAGACCTGGTTTAGACAAAAGAACAAAAAGACAAAAAAAAGGGAAATTTGGTTAATGTTCTCACACATTTAGGTACATCACTGACTTACATCACGACATTCATTATTTACTAAAAAACAATTCCAAAAAATATTAGAAATTTAAAAGCTCAAGTTATTTTTGTCATGGCATGCGAAAAAAATATTTCTGCTTCACAAGCATAGCCTCTACCGCCTTTGACTGAAAAATACAAAGAAAAAAGTTGATGATTATTACAAAACAATCAAAACACAAATTCAGAGGGTTTTTCATCATTTTTAAAATGCCATAATACATTTACAGCATATTGAATTGTATGAATATTGCGATGGTTTTGAAAGCAATCATGCAAAACGTCTCATAAAAGATGATTTCAAATCTAAACCGTTGTTAAACAAAGTATTATTGAAAGTCAATTACAAATTCTTTACCAAACTCACTGGGACCAACGTCAAAAGCTCGTTTTCTTCTTCTTTCCCGCTTTCCTTCGACACCCGCCTCGCCATTTGTAGCTTCCGACTACAATTTACAATTGAATTGGTTTGTCGACTTATATATCTTCCTTCGTTTTAGATAACCCCACCAAAAATATTTTTTTATTTAAAAGATTTCAATTCTTTTGGTTTCTATTCTATTCTTTTGACTTCTATTTTTATAGCATTCGCCAGATCCACTGGTATTAGACAGTGCGTTGGGAAACGTCTCAAATATTATGCTATGTTTGATAGAAAACCTAATTGAAATACTTATCCTTCATGCGCGATGCGTCACAACATGTGGGAGTCGTGAATTGAAACCGCGTCAACAAGGCATATTTTCGAGATAAATAATAAAATAATCTACAACGTGAGACAAATTTCTGATGATAATCCTGAATAAGAAAATTAGGAAGAGCATACCAGCGTAGCCACCTTTGACGAAGACACGACTTCTGTCGCCATTTTCAAACGTCTTCGAGCGAGAAGCCAAGAGGAAACGACGCCGTATGTCACGTGATTCATAGCAGAAAAATAACGTGCACGGGAGGGGAGGGGAGGGGAGCAAAATAAATTCGATCGTTGTGTTTGGTTTTCCTTACGCAGAAAAGCAGAAAAAAATTCTACGTATTTCTAGAAAACTTTGCAAGAAAAATTTTAAGCAATAATTGGCCACATCTAATCATCTTCGTCCGGATATCATTTCTGTTATCAAGAACAACAATTTCGTCACACATTTTTGCGGTGCATGTCGATTGGCTGAACGTCGGAAGACGAAGACACGCCATAACGTACATAATAGCACGTACAAGAAACGTCGCCAACAAGAGCGACTTTATATTTTGAACATACATAGACTCAGACAACGCATGTGCTTAAAGTGTAAACGAAAATGAAAGACTTAGAAATAGTGTCTAGGCTGCCGTTTGTTATATTATTGGAGATCTTTCTGACTGTTGAAAATGATACATTCAACTTTTACTTTTATTATGGTCGATTATTTCAAGTTACTGGTAAGATGGGGATTAATTCGTTCGTATTTATACATATAAAGATGCGCGTAAAGAAGTTACATAATATAAAGCAAATTCCGAAGAAACAAGACATCTTGAGATTGCAAAATATGCATCAAAACAAGACGAGAAGTGAACTGTAAATTTTCGACTTTATTTCAAAGTCATCCGCAGACAGAAAATCATCCTCATTCTGTCTGAATATGACTTTGAAATAAAGTCGAAAATTTACAGTTCACATCTCGTCTTGTTTTGATGCATATTTTGCAATCTAAGGATGTCTTGCGTTTTCGGAATTTGCTTTATACTATATTTCTTCAAATTGTCGGCTGGTCATGATTTTTGGAAGTTACATAGCACACAGATCATTTATTGTGTAGATGTCTAAAGAACTCGAGTATTTATTATGTTTTATCACGAAAGCAGTAGAAAATTTCATCGAAGTCCTACAACGAGTATAAAGTGCTTTCAAAATCAACAGTTCTCATTAAGATTTTACTAAAAAAATTACTACCTGTTGGACATGGCTTTCGACCAGTTTAGTCAGGACCAGGCTTTTTTATAACTCAAACGTACAAAATCTATGTCAAGGTAATTAATTATGATTTTCTCTTTTTATAGGGATCATGTTTTCTTTGTGGTGTTTCCTGCTTCATCAAGAACAACTTATTGCTGTTTACCATTACTTGCTGTTTATCATTGATATGACTCTAATATTATACCTCAACTTATATAATACGATTGATTTTGGAATGTCTTTAGCAAACCGCCAAACTGGATTAACATTTTGGGAGATGTTTGTTGTTTTTCCCGTAGTAACCGGATCTTGGCTCTTCTACATCGCCTCGGTCATCTTATACTCTAAAGGACTCCACACAAATAAACCAATCATATTTGGTTTCTCCACAGCTCCAATTTTTATTCATCGGTTATGGGATGCGGACAATACTCCATTGTGGCTTTCATTCTTCGTGTTTATATCTTCATATCTCACATTACAAGCCATGGAGTCAATGATAAAGAGTGTTGTGCATTATATATGGAAATCGTTCCATGTTGCCAAATGGTTGTGCCGTATGTATGGCTGGACCATATTCTTTTTATTTCATTGGCGAAGGTTATATATAGCGGACACATTATCCATGTTTTGGGCAATTGCCTTTTCCATCAACTTGATTCTCCAACATCTATTTTCATTTTATTCAATGTCGGCATCAGTTTTGATTTTTAACTCTGTTGCACACAGTTGTACATCATTGCTAACCATGTTAAGCATGTGCTTCATCATTTATAAAATATGCAACTTCCTTTTAACGCATGTTAAACATTTTTTCCATGAAGATAATTTGGCTGTCGAAGAATCTTCTTCACCATCCGGAGTGAGAGAAGCTTGCGGTTTTTTCTTTTTGGCATTATATACAGGCGTGGCGAGTTGCGAGCCAAGCAGGAAAATGTACCTTTTGGAATTGATATTCTATTTAATTCTTGCTGCCTTGATCCGGTCAATGTTCGAAGTTGTTGAACCAGTTTTACTTGCTCTGGGCTCATTGCCAGCATCAAGTGTGAAGAAGCATCTACGAATCTTGCTTTTCGTATTCTTCCTTTTGATTGCAGCATTTTATCTAGCTTTTAATGTGTATGAAATGAAGGACCGAATACCTTTCATGACACCAAACATTATAACCATTGCTCAAATATTTGCTGCTCTTGTACTGTACTTGTTGTACTGCTACGATTCCTTGTATCAAGGTGTTTGGGAGGAACTTGATGATTGCGTCTACTATATTAACGGAGGATGTCGTGCATTTGAATTTGTTGTCATTGCCGGAGTCCTCTGTTATCGTTTATGCGATTTCACATTGGAATGGACCATTTTTCAGATTGCCATGGCACTTCTTCACATATATGTGAATATTTGGCAGCCGGCAAGAGAAGGTTGGCAGAGTTTGCGTAAAAGGCATAGTGTTTACCAGAAGTTGAATGCACTGCCAGAAGCAAGTCGTGAAGAAATTGATTCGCTTCAGGATGTCTGTCCGATATGTCTTGAGGAACTTAAAACTGCACGAGTGACACCTTGTAATCATTACTTTCACAATATTTGTCTGAAGAAATGGCTAAAAGTGCAAAATAAATGCCCCATGTGTCATGCCACTATTTTGGCACTTTGAACTAGTCTTATTCTATACATATAATCTAATCAAGATGTGGTATTTGTAAATACTTGAAAAATTTACGAACGAATGCATGGGAATTTTGACATAAAGGCAAGTTATTATTACGACCTATTTCCCCTTCGTCACAGGATGATGTTGCAAGATCAAATTTCTATTGTTATTGACTTTGATGACAGTGACATGAAGCATACATTTTTCCTACTTTCGTGTCGCTACTCGCAAGCACGAAATCTATGTCAACCTAGGCAACGGTTGTGTGAAGAATACATAAATACAGTGGAGGGTACTTGCTTGGATAACCAGTCGGAAAATCCGTACGAAACTTGCCGATTGAACGATGTGAATACCCGACTGACAATATGACCTTGTATGCCATTGTTTAAACATGTGTAACTGATCAAGCTCTGCTGTTGCTTAGTTCGTCTCAGATTATCGTAAAAAAACTTAAGCCAGACGAAAGGAATTTACATGAAACATGGTCAGCATTGAAGAAGAAATGAAACAAAAGGACAAAGAAGCCGCCGTCCTGAAAGCCAATCATAAATACGAAATTTTACTTAACATCGAACTTGAAAGAATCGAGAAATGCAAGCGAACGTACGAAAACTTTCACAATTTCGAGGTCTCCGTGATGAGGCATCGTCAACATAATATACTGCAGAAACAGCTTGAATTGAGGAAAATTGTTGCGGATTCCAATTTTGTTGAGTTTGGTCGTCATTTCGGTTTGCTTGAAAGAGGCAAGACGCGTCATAAAGAAACTTGTTCTCCGAAAATATCAAAAGCACAACAGAACGACCAGCACGTACAGCGAAACAAGTCAAATAGTATTCGTCAAGAAATCTGCGCTCATTATGCTAATAACGGACGAAAAAATTTCGGCACTAAAACAGTAAAAAATAACTGGGCAAGAAACGATAGCCAAGTCCATCAAAAGTTAGCAACCTTGACTACGAAAAGGAAAGAAATGTTCCCTGATTTTAAATTTAGGAATTATCGAACAAAAACTCCCCTAAAGGCAAGCCATAAGGACTCGTCACCATTTGACCAATTTAGAGAACGACTCGATGAAAGTTGTCGACGAACTGCAAAACGTCAAGTTAAAAGATTACTAAGCGCCCAACAAGACGAGAAGTTTGATTTAACTACATTTTATAGAACACGTTCGGCTGATGCGCAGATAACCTCAATATATTTAATGTGAACAAAAGCAAAGAATGACTGAAGTATAGTAAACTTCTGTGTTTTGTGTAAAGTAGTTTATTGACAAATAAATTATATACATATATTGCAATAAAATAGTTCGTTTTTTTTTTGTTATTTGTGCATAAAAACCTTATGGAATTTGTGAAATGTATGTGATTTCTCCTAAACAAGAATCTCATTGATTTTTCCTAACCTGACGATACGCGACGAAAATCTTTTTCGTTAGCAAATTGAACCCCACGTGGCCCAGTGAAAGATTCATTAGATAACTGAAAAATGAAATAAGAAAAGCTATCATCTACGGGGTCCATAGAAAAAATCATAAAAATCGCTGTTCATGCAAAGGATTTAGGAGGAAGCTTGATTGATACCATACCATGGAGGTCATGGGTCCCATACTCAATCTTTCAGTTTGCAGTTTTTAGATCGCTAATTTTTTCGTGCCATTTCAACATTTTCTTCGTACATATCCTGTTACGTTATTTGACAAAAATTAAAGAAAACGTACCTTGCTATTGGTACCGTTCAATAAATCAAGGCGCTTCGCGATCGTATTGTCAATATCAATCGATCTATTTTCATCCTAAAACATATCCGACAAGTTTTAAAAGTCCACAACGTAATTAGAATGAAATGTTAAACGCACAAGTCCATTCGCGTGTAGCTAGTTTTCAAAACATGTTTGGCATTTCTTCATGAGAAAAAGCGAAAGTATTTGCAATTTTAAATCCATCAATGGCTATTTTGGACTTGATGAATTTTAACTGCTAAAACCAGGGAATAGAGCCATTTGTTAGAGAACAATGTCAAAATAAAACTAGAACATATAAAGCAACAAAAACGGTTTAAAAGAAACTAAAAGTACATTCTTTTTCATTTAGTTACATAGATGGAATAGAAATTTTAGTAATGGAAATATCTTCAATGGAATACCATTTCTCACTCAATGAAGAGAAATTTTGTTTTTGGGATCTTTTCGATTTATGCACACAAAATTAGACATGTATTTCTACTAACAGGTGAACAATTGATTAGTGAAATGCTTACTCGTCAAGTATTTTACGGAAACGATTTGCAACAAGAGGCGGAAAAAATGGCGGTCAGTTGAGTTATAGGGGAACGTCGTTTCGCCGCATTGTTACTATTTTTCTGTCGATCTATCTTAATTCTTAAACAAAAGATGACATAATGGCATTGAAAATCCTCAAAAAAATTACCTGTCTTCGTACCGTCGCAATTTCTTCAATAAAATTTGAGGGAACCAAGCCCCTTTTACCGTTTATCTAATGAATGAAACATGAAATTAAATAACAAAGTAAACACGTTGGACAGCGGCCAATCTCAACCCTCAGGCTCCCCACTTCCACCCCCCTGTAATTGCCACTCCCTTTATCACCTCTCCGACAAAATATCCATCGGGTCTGGTTGTGTCCAAAATGCGAACAATGTCTCCCTCTTGAAATCCTAATTCAAGGCTTGGGTCGGGATTGGGTGAACTTTTCATTGGAGCATAACTGAACAGAGCGACGAACTAAAGTGACGAGCAATGGCAATTATAAAATGAAAACAATACGTGCGCTGATTGGTCTATAGCTGAGTTTGCATTAGCCTGTGCAAGCTCAATCAATTAAATCAACGCGTGCGCTGATTGGTCTATAGTTGAGTTTGCTTTAGCCTGTGCAAGCTCAATCAATTAAATCAACGCGTGTGCTGATTGGTCTATAGCTGAGTTTGCTTTAGCCTGTGCAAGCTCAATCAATTAAATCAACGCGTGCGGTGATTGGTCTATAGCCGAGTTTGCTTTAGTCTGAGCAAGCTCAATCAATTAAATAAATGAAAGAGAATTTGCAAATTACTCATTTATACATGTCAAAGAAAAAAATCAAAAATTCATGTTACCACTGGCTTCTGCAAACCTCGAGTTCTCCCAAACGTCTCCTAGGTTTGCATAAGCCTGTGCAAAGACGGTAAACATGATCTATTTCTCAATTGAAAATATAGAAATTGGACAAAATTGTCGTAAATGATTGACATACCGTCCGATATGGAGCGTTCAGTTGCGAAACATTCTTGATAATTATACAGAAAAATAATTATTGATAATGGAAGGTTTTAATATTTCCAACAGAACGCAGCCACTTTTAAGGAATTTTGACTAGTAGGGGTAAGTTTGACTTTTGGGGATAACTTTGACTAGTGAGGGTAATTTTGACTAGTAGGGGTGATTTAAAGTAGTCTGTGATACAGCTAGCTATATATTTTAAGGAAAAAATTCCCAAAACCGTTAAGTTACAACTAATAATGAAAACCGAATCTTTCACATTGACAATAACGGTGGTTTTGACAGGTAATCAAAGTAAATCACCGCTAGTGCAAACTGATGGACATATTGGGGTAAATTTCTCAGCAGTTATACAGTTGAAAAATGCCTTGATGAACAACATACATCAATAATAACTGTTGTTCCGTCCTAAAGTACAACAAAGAGAACAAAGATATTAATAAATTTGATATTGAAGAAATTTTACTTCATTTTACCAGTCGACCTACCGACGCTGCTGACTCGTTAAAGTGCGTTACACTTTTTTCCGAAAAAAATCCATTTTCAGCCACCGTTCGAATAGCGATCTCCAGCGGACGAGTCAAATCGAGATTTTCAATAAGGGCCTTTTTAAGTAAAGTACAGAATATTAGAGCGAAAAAATTAAAAGTTGTTGAAAATATCACGGGGCGTAAGTTACGTTTTCGTTATTTGGAAAGAGGACTCGGAGTTACAAGGCCCCAAGCTCTAACATAGCTGACAAACGTTCAGTAAAAAGTACACAGAGAATGGTAAAACAAATCCTTTTCCAAGTAAACCAAATCCTAGCACAAATCCTAGATGTAAACCAAATCCTAGTACAAAGTAAACCAAATCCTTTTCCACCCCCGATAATTTCAAATAATAAAAGAAAAAAACACTCCAAAAAACATCATCTTGTAAACTCAAGATTCGAGTCATAACGGCAAGAGACAAGATTTAAAGCAATATTTCGACTTTATTTCAAAGTCATCATCAAGCTAATGTACATAGCAGCCAACGTACAAGGCAAAATATTGCTTTAAATCTTGTCTCTTGCTGTTATAACTCGAATCTTGAGTTTACAAAATGTTTTTTTGGAGTGTGTTTTATCACTTATCGTAAACAAGGAGCACAACTAAAGAAAATAACTTGTGTTTCGTAAAGTAAAATAGTTTGTGTTTCGAATCAACACTGAAGTGATTCAGCGTCCAAATTTATTGAGGAGCGCCCCCCCAAACCAATATGACTCCCCCCGTACTACCTTAGCCATAAAAGGACTTTCAACATCTAGTTTGTTCACTCCATTTACAATAATCTACCGTAAAAGAAAACGAATTGTCATAAAAACAAATCTTTGCTGTGCTATAGTTTTTCAAATAAAATCATTACATTGTATCCTTCGATCTTATGTCCGCCGTTCCTTCCAAATTCATCAAGATATGGCGCGATCCAGCCAACCAATAAACAGTCCTCATTTACACAACGTATCACATGAAGATTACTGGGCGCTGAAGGTAAACCTTGGTAATGAAAATCGTGGAAGACAAGATTATCGAAATCGTTTTCTCCGAGCTATAACAGTAGCTTTTTACACGATTGACAACACAAAAGTTCAAAGGTAATGTTATACCTACTATAATGTCCCTACCAACAGTCATGTTCAATGTTATGCCTACTAATTTTCCGTACCTAAGGAGTGGAATGTTTTATCGAATGATCTCATCACTTCATCTTTCGGAAGCAGTTCTAAATAATAGAAGAATATAAGAGTTTGAATTATACATTTTGGCTTGGCTTCACAAGATTTGCGAGGAATGGTTACTAATCTACTAATAATAAAATACATTGTTGGCAAAAAGTAACAAAATATCCTGTAAAATAACGTTATCTCTTCAAGCTGACCTTTTTTTTCTATTGTAAAGGATCGATCGGTATTCACGTCTCCAACGACTGTCACCAATTCCCCTTTGGTCAACGACAAGTCCGGGTCTGCGTTGTTCGACGTACTTAATGTAAATGGATTGTGATCTTGTAATGGAACGAACGACCGTTTATTGAAACCGTTCTTATACATTCGGTCTGATGTCGGCTTAAGTCGGAAATTGTCGTAACTCGTTTCCATGTTGTTCATTTTTTCTTTCTACAAGAAGTACAAAAAGAGATACGTTATCATTTGATGCGCCATGAGGAAATGAAGCGATCGAGATCATCTACGCCGTTCAACATAGGACACGAAGAAGGTGAAAAAAGTCAGTGATCTCCCACAACTCGCAAATAACGGTCAGTATTCAAGACTGAATAAAAAACATAAAAAAAAATCAATTCTTAGGGACAGTGGCGGAAAAGAGGGAGGTTAGGAGAGCCTACGCAGTCCCTCCCCCTATAGTATAAAAAGACAAAAAATCCTCCACCAGATACCACAAATCACAACCACATAACGTAAATGTTTATTTTATTGAATTGTGTGCTAAATAAGTTCAAGCATACGCGTTGAACGTTTTTGTTTCAGTTGGGAAGTTCTGAGAAATCTCGTGCCTTGGGGGACGATCCCCTCTCCAATATTTAACGAGGTGTTCGCCATTACTTAAAAACTGGTGCCTTCAATATAAAAACAACACATTGTTGCATTCGAAAGTCAAGAAGGTGACCATAGAAATGTGAGAAACTTCATTTGAGGAATTTAATCGTGACTTGTTTTCTTCGGCATAAAAGGTCACATTATTCGGCGCATAAAACAAACCGCTTTTCTTATCTTCCAATCGTTCATATCTTCGACGTACAAACTCGACACCAGTCCTCTCTTCCCGTTCAACTCGCCCATGTAATAACCATTAACATCGAGATCACCCAATACGGTAACGACGTCACCTTTCTTCACTTTCAGCTCACTTTCTGGGTGACCTGTGCTGCTCAAACGTTGCGGATCATAATCGAATAAGACCACGCACTGTTTAACGTTGCAATCACGTGATGCTACCTGTCATAAAGATGAATAAAAGTAAACATAACAAAGATTTCCATGAGAGTACTTAAAGAATTTGTATCAACTAAGATGCATTGCGCGTTTTTATTTGTGTTTACATCGCTGCTTATTGAGCATGCGCACACTGAATTCACTGTCGTCACTACGTCGTCTAATTTATCTGGAAAATTGAAAATTTATGTTACTACAGGCTTGTGCAAGCCTCGGGTTCTCGCAAACGTCTCCTATGTTTGCATAAGCCTGTGAAAAGTCGGTAATTATTACTATCGTTTATCTAAGTTGTATGAACTACAATGACAAATCCGCCATTTTCGTGACCCACAAAATGGCCGTCTTCTTGTGATTAACGCGCAATACATCTTGGTTGACACACGTTCTTTAACGTCAAACCTACGTTATTATTCGTATCTGGAAAATGTCGAGACATATTGTGAGAGCGATTTGAGAGATCGACTTTTTCAAAGCTTGCAATGGAAAATTTCAAAACACGAATTTGTCGTTTGAATTTATCCATTTGTTCATCCTTTTCTCTGCATGACTGCTTCAGAAGCGCTAATTTGGCCTGAAATTAGACATCGATATCGCATATTACGAAGCATTATGAGCACGATATTGGTTGGATGAAAATCGCAAGACCTTCAAAGTAGGTAGTTGTACTTCGGCATCCTCTTTTTGTCCTGTGAGTTCAGCGATCTATGAAGGCAAGGATACTGTGTTATCATTCTTGACATGCAAGAAAGTGCATTGGCGTCAACATAAACTGTTTAATAGTTACCTTTAACTTGAAGCTGTATAACTTTTCCTCCAACATCTTGTTTTCACTGAAAGAATTACGTAAGGATAAAAAGGCAGGAAATCTGTTTTGAGTGAGAAGAACGAGTGAGAAGAACGATTGAGAAGAACGAGTGAGAAGAGCGAGTGAGAAGAACGAGTGAGAAGAACGAGTGAGAAGAACGAGTGAGAAGAACGAGAAGAACGAGTGAGAAGAACGAGTGAAAGAACGAGTGAGAAGAACGAGCGAAAGAGTGAGAAGACGAGAGAAACGAGTGAGAAGAACGAGTGAAAAGAACGAGTGAGGAACGAATGAAAGAAATAAACGAATCGGGAGAAGAACGATGAAAATCGATCGAAATCGCTTGAAGAAAACGAGAGAAGATCGTATCATGAGAGAAAATGAGAAATCGAAATCGAGTGAGATCGTGAGAAATGAAAATGAGATCAGGAAAATCGTGAGAAATCGGAGTCCGAGTGAAAATCATCGAGTGCGAGAAAATGAAGAAAATGAGAAATCGCGTCATCGTGAAAATAAATGAGAAATGAGTGAAAAGTCAGAAGGAGAAGAAATTAAATCGAAGAATCATCATGAATCGTGAGAGAAAATCCGCTCATGAGAATAAACTGAAAAGAAATGAGGAAAGAAAATGAGAAATGGAGAAATCGCGAAAATCGAGAAGAAATGGAGATGATTCATCAGATGGAAATCGAGAAAATCGATTCATCGGTGAAAAGAATGGAATCGAATCGAAGAACGAGAAAGATGATCATGAATGAGAAAATGAAAATCGTAGAATCGGGAGAATCATTCATCAGCGAAAAATCATCAAAATCGAATCGAGAAATCGAATCATCGGAATAAATCATCAAAGATGATGATCCGAGTGAGAAAATCGAGGATCCGAGAAAATCATGAAAGATGAAAATCCACGCAGGAGAAGAAAGAACGAGTGAAAGAACGAACGAAACGAGTGAGAGAACGAGAAGATGAGAACAGAAGAACGAGTGAAAGAGCGGAAAAGATTGAGAAAACGAGTGAAAGAACGAGTGAGAAGAACGAGCGAGAACGAAGAACGAAGAACGAACGAGAGAGAAGAACGATTGAGAAGAACGAGTGAGAAGAACGAGTGAGAACAATTTGAACAAGAACAACAAAATATAAGATCTCAAAATTGATGTAAAACTGTCATTTGAATCATAAGCAAAAATACCGCAATCTTTTCATCGTTTCTAACTGCAAGTGACCAAAATTACTAACGAAAGACGATTAAAAACAATTATACATGACAAATATGAAATCATTCGTACTTCGACAATTTAACCAAAAGAGCACTTTTCGACGCCAACTCATTTCTCTCTTTCAAGCAATCACCGAGTTCATAAGACAAGTCTTCTCGTTCACGTTCGATTTTTTTGAACTGTTCGTGTAGGAAACGAAGATCGGGATGAAAATCTCGCGACTTGCTTTCATCCAGTTTCGTGTTAGCCTTCCATTGCAACAACTGCAACAGGACATAAGAACAGCAATATTGATGTGGCGAATATTTCATTGTAGTCATGGAAACTGCAAACCTCGTGCAATCGTTGTCTCAATTCTATTTTTTCCATTTCACACTTTCTCAGTTGAGAGTTAGCCTCGTCCCTGTTTTTCTCAACATTAAATGTTCGTCCTTGCAAGTCGCGAACTTCTTTATCCAAATCTGATACCTGACAAGAAGGAAACACATTGATTAGTCATACATTGATTAGTCATACATTGATTAGTTATACATTGATTAGTTATACATTGATTAGTTATACATTGATTAGTTATACATTGATTAGTTATACATTGATTAGCTATATATTGATTAGCTATACATTGATTAGTTACACATTGATTAGTTATACATTGATTAGTTTCACATTGATTAGTTATACATTGATTAGTTATACATTGATTAGTTAAACATTGATTAGTTATACATTAATTAGTTATACATTGATTAATTATACATTGATTAATTATACATTGATTAATTACACATTGATTAGTTATACATTGATTAATTATACATTGATTAGTTATACATTGATTAGTTATACATTGATTAGTTATACATTGATTAAAGATACACAGTCATGCTCAACTACAAAGATTATACTTGATTATCAGTTATACGTTGATTAAAAAAAACCAGCTATGCTCTTTTCATGTACAAACATTATACTTCAACAGACCTTGTTTCTTAAATTATCGTTTGTCTTCAGCAACTGGCAATTTTTCGCTTGTAAATTCCCTTTTTCTTGCTGCGAAAGTAAATTGTTCATCGAAAAATCTCTTTTCTCAGCTTCAAGTTTCTTAAGTTTTTCGGTAATTTCATTATTCTCAGTTTGCAGCTCCTTCAATTCCTCGCGAACCTTATCTCTGTCTTGTCTTACTTCTTCTAACTCGTTAAGCTTGTTCTGTATAATAAAATCAACAACTCTCACAAAATCAACATTGTTTCTCTTGCCCCTAAGCCACATAACGTACCTGTAAATTTGAGATAGTTCTCTCCAACACAACAAACTCTTTGTCAGCTCTCTCGAGCCTCGAAAGCTGAAGAAAAAGGAATTTTAATATCATGGGGCGACTCTCCCGTTACGTGTGTGACATTTACGTTGTGATTTTGTAGTCATTCCCGGCTCCAAGTACAGACAATAATCAAGACTTTTAAAAGTACGAGATATTTATTATATCTTAGGGTGACTTTATCTAAAAACAAATGCTGTTAAAGTTTTTCACGCTGTCTTTCTCCGAGAGATACAAAGGCAAAGGAGTGAGAGACACACAAAAATCAATGTTTCCTGCTAAGGCATTTTTTTACCAACTTCACATTTGATGAACATCGTTATGGAAAAGTAATGAAAAATATGTGAAATACTACATTCAATAATTCTTTTTTACCAACTTCACACTTGGTGAACATCGATATGGCAAAGTAATGAGAAATATGTGAAATGCTACATTCAATAATCCTTTTTTTTACCAACTTTACAATTAGTGAACATCGATATGGCAAAGTAATGAAAAATACGTGAAATACTACATTCAATAATCCTGATTTAAACTGAAACAGACATAATGACATTGTATAACACTTCATACAGGTTGCTTCGAATTGTTGTCGCGCAGGCTCGATTTCAGAGAATTTCCCATAAGGTATTCGCGGAATGATCGCAGAATTTTCAATACCTGCTCCTTAAGTTGAGTGTTTTCCATCGTAAGAGAATCATAGTCGCATTTCAGTTCACCGTGCCTTTCTTCCAGGGATTTTAGTTGCTTCATACAATCCTACAAGAAATAATCAATATTGTATAGAAAACAATTAAGAAATAAAAGATGGTTACTGTGTTTGCACAGGCGTACGCAAACCGAGAAGATTTTCAGGAAAACTCAAGAGCAAATAAGTGCAAGCCCTAGACCGAAGGTTAAAGTGCTCACATTACCTTCAAGGTAATTAACTATTCAGATAGAGTTGACAATTTTAAGATTATTTGAAATATGTTTTATAATCCTTGACTCTTTGGGCTTCAAAGTTGGCTTTTTTCATGTTTGACCGTTTTATATTGTACACTTCGTTATTGAATCACACTGTAATTCTACAGCTTTAAAAAGCAGCGTGTTCTCCAATATACGTCACGTCCGGTGAACTAGACCCAGTCACAGCATCTCACGGTCAAACACGAAAAAAGCCAACTTTGACGCCCACAAAGTCAAGGAAGATCAAATTTTCGTGTTATAAAGTATATTTCAAATGTTCTTAAAAATGGTCGGCTGTATCTAAATGGATAATTACCCTGAGGGTGATATAGGCACTTTAAGGATTTGCACCTGGCTCGAGAGTTCTCGCCAACATCTTTCATTGATTTGATTGATTTATATAAGAACGGTTTGCACTGGCCAATACAAACACAGCTATAGACCAATCAACGCATGCGTTGTATTGTTTTTATTTTATAACTGTTTATGATGCAATTAGGAATAAAACAAACCTCGGTAGAGCTGACTTTCTGCATCAAGAAATCCCGTTGATTTATGACATTTTCAAGATTAAAGTGCAACTGTTCCAACTACAATAATTGGACATTTTCATTTCAAACTCAATGTTACGACGTACAATTTCAACAATTGACGCATCACCTCGCCATTACATCTAATCAACTCGTCAATCTACACAAAAGAAAAGAATGACGTCATTAACGTTCGTGAGCCAAGAAGAACAACAAAGGATTGGAATATTCTTTCACAGAAACCTCCACGTATGTACCTTGGCGATCGCCTCATTCTCTCGCTTTTTGTTCTACACAAACAAAACGTAAGACAATAATTTAAAAAAAGTTTTTCGTATAATGGAGCGCTCATTTGGAGCTCACTTCCCAATGAAGTCGGAGAGAGTAGATCCCTTTATTCTTGTCAAGCAAAAATTGCAGCTCACATTGATAGGCATAAACGAGCTTGCATGTTATAAAAAGAAATAACAGCTCTACATTGGAAACAAACTTATTCTTATATTCACTATGTCCTAAAATAGTATTATGCACAAGAAGTGTTTAGTAAACAGCTTTTATGTACTTTCATTTACTTTTCATATTTATTGTAAGTTTTTATTCCATGCACCCCTCTTGGAAATTAGCGAAAGTTGACGAAGTCAGCGTGTTTGTATGAAATTTATGTATGCATGTACTTAGCAAACTAATATCCGTTCACAATGGCAATTTATATACCTCGACTTTGAGAAAACGAATCGTTTCGTCCTAGAAAAAATAAAAATGGAAATAATCAACAACCCTCATATCGTGCAGGTCCGGAAAGAGGAACTTGCCATCATTTTAATATCGTCTTCCTTCTTTTTTATCTATAATGCATAAAAATATAGCAGTGGTCGAATTTCAAAAGAGATTTCACTGTAGACGGTAACGACGTTATACTTACATATGCGTTTGTTTCAATCTCCGTGGTCTCAGCCTGAAAAAAAAATTAGAAATACAAGAAAATTCAATCAATCATAATAGTTAATTAATCGTAATAATTAATTAATCAATCACAATAATTGATCATAACAGCTATAAATGCTTCATAATGTCCATCTTACCTTGACTGTCTCCAAGAGACTGTCTTTGTTCTGAAATTAAATAAAGTATTTTTATTGAAACGCTTTGAGATTGTAACTAAAAGCAACGATAATTCTTTCGACTAAGTTTCTGCGTTTGAATTCCCAGTGATTGAGTATGTTGGACGGACGCAAAAATTATAGCATTTGTATTTTTTAGATGACAAATAATCATCTAGAGAACAGTACGTTTTGCGATAATCAGGTGCATACTCAGAAAAAATCTCACGCACAGGATGACAGCGAACTGACAAGAATGGTTGACTAGTTGCAACAGGAAATCAAAAAAGATTTCCAAGTTCATATCTGCTGCAATCAATGGTGAATGACCGAGTGCAAAAGACGAAGAGAAATCAAGCGAACACTCCGCCTTCGTTTCACGTCACCACAGTTGGAAAAAAAAAGACATTTAAATCTTCTTTATCGAAACCAAACCATGTTTATTGACGTTTTGGTGTGGTGATTTTGAGAAGCACAATAACACAGAACAGTTTTCAATATGAGAATTTAAGAGTAAAAGGAGAAGAATGTATCATTCGTATTTTAAACTGTCGAAATTGGTAAATAATCAACTAGGTGGTAAGCCTGAAAAGATTCATGCTAACAGCGTTGTGCATTTTTTTACCTTTATCTGTCTCTCAAGATAAACAATCTTTTCTTTCAGTATATCGATCTCACCATGATTGAATTCACTAGCACGTTTGGAGACCAGCCCCTCCGGTGGGAAACAACCATCAACTATGTCTTTCTGCGCAGCCAAGGAACTTGGTGTTTTACGCAAGGGGGGTGCACCAATTGTCACACTACGTGTGAAGTATTTTGGTTTGGGTAATACGGGAGGAGGTTGACGATATTTGGAATCTGGAATGCTTTCACGCTTTACAACCTCATGCTGTGACTCTGGAGAAGTGTTTGAATGCGAAGAATCGTCGCTTTCAAAGATTGCATCAACTTCGTCGGTCAAAATTGTTTTAAAGACTTCACCAAAGTTATTTGTAATCGTAGGAGATGCAGGAATTGTTGAAGGTGTCATTGTAGTTGCTGTGTCAGTGTCAGTGAATGTTGAAGGTATCATTGTAGTTGCTGTGTCAGTGAATGTTGAAGGTGTCACTGTAGTTGCTGTGTCAGTGTCAGTGAATGTTGAAGGTGTCACTGTAGTTGCTGTGTCAGTGAATGTTGAAGGTGTCACTGTAGTTGCTGTGTCAGTGAATGTTGAAGGTGTCACTGTAGTTGCTGTGTCAGTGAATGTTGAAGATGTCACTGTAGTTGCTGTGTCAGTGTCAGTGAATGATGAAGGTGTCACTGTAGTTGCTGTATCAGTGAATGTTGAAGATGTCACTGTAGTTGCTGTGTCAGTGTCAGTGAATGATGAAGGTGTCATTGTAGTTGCTGTGTCCTTGAATGTTGAAGGTGTCACTGTAGTTGCTGTGTCGGTGAATGTTGAAGGTGTCACTGTAGTTGCTGTGTCAGTGAATGTTGAAGGTGTCACTGTAGTTGCTGTGTCAGTGAATGTTGAAGGTGTCACTGTAGTTGCTGTGTCAGTGAATGTTGAAGGTGTCACTGTAGTTGCTGTGTCAGTGAATGTTGAAGGTGTCACTGTAGTTGTTGTGTCAGTGAATGTTGAAGGTGTCACTGTAGTTGCTGTGTCAGTGAATGTTGAAGGTGTCACTGTAGTTGCTGTGTCAGTGAATGTTGAAGGTGTCACTGTAGTTGCTGTGTCAGTGAATGTTGAAGGTGTCACTGTAGTTGCTGTGTCAGTGTCAGTGAACTGCGCCTCTGCAATCCCATCAGTAAATGCAAATTCTGCATCACTGCCTTGAACTTCGGAAAAATTATTTCCATTGACTACAACACAATCATTGCAACTAGACTCGGCTTCGTTCTTCAGCATCTCCCCAACCTGCTCACTACATGCAGATTGAGTACCAATTCCCTGAGAGTCAGCAACAATATCACCGTGTACACATTCGATACCATTCCCTCCGATGTCAGCATGTTGAAGAGTTTCCGATTCAGTTTTAACCGTTGAGGAACTTTGTTGAATCTTTCTCGCTTCATCACCCTCCGCTTCTAATGTTTCACCAGAAGCTGCTAAAGTTCCTTCCTTCGAGCTTTGATTCACGAACGCAACATTTCGACTTTCACTCATGTTACTACCGTCAAAAGAAAGATTATCGCCACCCTCCATTTCATTGTTCACATTCGCTTGACGCAACACGACAAGTGAGGAAGAAGCCTCGACATTTCCAACATCTCTTTCATTAGTCGTTGAATCTTTCTAACAAAAAAATAATCAAAAAACATCATCGATGATGAAGACTGACTTAGAAAAAAATATTCTCGATCAATTATCCGAAAAAAAATCCACAGGAAAAAACACTCCTCTACGACAGATGAAGAAATACAGACTTACGGCCAAAAACATTTAAAATCAACGCTTGCACGTCAAAAAGATTCCAAATGCTAAACTTTCAAGACAAATAATCCGGCAACGCTCAACAAACATAAATTTTGAAAGTAGCGTTGAATACTTCGGCAGCATAGTAAACAAACAGGTATGAACAGGTGTATAGCAGTTACTGAACAGGTACACAAATCGTTGCCACAGCTTCGTTGTTTTACAAATTTGGAGGTTTTATTGATAGGATATAACTGGTTGAAGCATAACATTGCTTGATAACCTAAATTCATTAAACATATTTTTCGTAAATTCAGTTGCAGCAGATGCAAATGAAACTTCCATTTCAGATCCACTGAAGCACCTCATCCTCAGTCTTTCGCTACATATACGCATGCGCAGTAATTTTGAAGACTATTGAAATGTTAGTTGTTATCGTGTTACCGGGCAGTTTAAAGCCCGTTGCACCCGTTGCTTAAAGGAAATAGCTCCCACTTTGTTTGTGGTCGTATATTAAGCCAGAAAGGCTTCGAAGTAGTCATATGGTTGGAATTAGTGATAGACTTACATTAGCGTATTTAAATTCAAGATGGCGTCAGCAGGAAAGTTTCACGATTTAACTGTTATTCAATGCACCAAATAAGGAGCATTCCAACAAAAAAGGGTTGGGGTTAAAAGTTATAAGTCAAAAGTTATACTTTAGTTGAAAATTCAAAAAACAAATTTCCCGCTCGTACCACGCGTGTGTATATAAACATCTGAAATAGATTTCGATCTGAAATGGATATGAAATGCACTTCACCTTGATTAAAACGTCATCCACGATCGCACATTCAATGCACTTATCTTCTCTTTGCAATACTTCATGTAACTCGCATTGCGTTTGCATATCCTTTGTGTCTCTTGAAAAATCTCGTCCTGCAAGAGTCATGAATGCACGTGAGTACGAGCATGGAAGATCTGGTGAAGAGGAGAAAAAAATATCTTCACTACCAAGTGTTTCTTGTAAAGGTGTCAATATTTCTTGTTGTTTCACAACTTCGTAGAAATGTTGATTGATCAATAAATCGTTTTGACTGCATTCCTTCGCCAATGCCATCACCTCCTTGATCAACGATTCGTCATCGTCCTCCCGAAGATCCCCGGAAAGACCCGATACGAGTCCGTCAAACGAAAGGACTTCGGCGAACTCGCATTGTATGGCAATGTCCTTACACAAGCATTGGTCACGTGCTGAATCCTCGCAATCGTCATCGTCCTCCCGAAGATCCCCGGAAAAACCCGATATGAGTCCGTCAAACGAAAGGACTTCGGCGAACTCGCATTGTGTGGCAATGTCCTTACACAAGCATTGGTTACGTGGTGAATCCTGGCCATCATTCATTTTATTTTCGGTCGTTCTCTTATGAGAAAAATCCTCTTTCTTGCTATTGTTGAAAACATCCATTGAAGTGATTTCCGAACAGCATTTTCGATAATTCTCTCCAATAATTGTTAAAACACCTTCCTTCACGTACACAAGACAGTCTAAAAGTTCGCCATTTTCACCAGATTCAATGACCAAATCTTTCCAGTTACCACCGATCAAACTCTTTTCACTAGCCTCGCCGTCATGCTTCTCGATGACGTCATCATCTACCAAATTCCTACTGACGTCATCACTTGTCTTAACGTCACGAGCGAGATCGATTTCAGTCTGGACAGCGATATCACTACAGCACGGTACCTTTTTGAAACGAGCGCCGTCATGCTTCTCGATGACGTCATCATCTACCAAATTCCTACTGACGTCATCACTTATCTTAACGTCACGTGCAAGATCGACTTCAGTCTGGACAGCGATATCACTACAGCACGGTACCTTTTTAAAACGAGCGCCGTCAAACTCCGTGGAAGTTTCTATAAAATCTTCACGGAGACATAAAATATTGCACTGTATTGCCGAGTTGAATTTTTCCGTTGCTGCAAAAATTGACGGTTCTCTTTCGTTGTTCGCAATGTGTACTTCATTTTGTCTTGAATAGTCAGCTGTGTTTACAATGCTTTGCGCGTCTACGTCGATTTTATTGGCATCATCGCTTACTAACTCAAAACAAACATTGTCATCTTTGATGGGAGAGTTTAATCTATCGACATAAGGGAAATCTTCGTTTGCATTCAAGTCGTCTTTAACATATTCCATGAAAGATAACTCCTGCAAATGAAATAGAAATATTCTTTCAGAGAAAAACAGTCATGGCGAATTAGTAACAGAATCGTGTAATCGACACCTGATTCGACATCTTTAGCAGCAAACGTTGTGTTCGTGCGAGAGCAAGCTGCTCGTTTCGCGATAGCATTGGTTTCTACAGAAAGGATTTTGACAAATATCAACAACTGCTTTGAAGAGCGCATGTGCCATAGTAAATGACAGCAATAACCTAACTCTATAATAAATTGCTGAAAGCTAAAATCAAGATAAATAATCCAGTTTATCAAAGAACTATGACATAAGTTAAGTCACCATCATTTTTCAACAGATAATTTAATCAGATATAAAACGAGGAAAAAATCTTCATAGATACTCGCATTAAGATATAAGTCGTGAATATTAAGATCGTGATGAAATTCTTGTGATTTTCCGTCTTTTGAGTCGTCGTCAAACCAACTAACTGTTGACAAATGTTTCTGCTTAAAACTGAACAGTTTACAATTCATTCTTCGTGAGAAAATTATCTGTGAGGGTCGACGTCGTTATCTCTGCCATTGAGATGGTTTACGTCAAGTTGACAGAGTACTTCAAATCAATTACAAAATGCCAACACTCATTTAAGGTCCTAGAGCTTCAGAAGAACCTGTCTTTTTTCTAAAGTCGCATTTCCCTTCATAACGTTAGTGACGTCACTTTCCGACCATCGAACATATCCTGGCATGCTCGTGAATACTTAGTTGGTTTGACAATGACTTCGGAATAAAGTGAAAATATCAAAAGAATTTTTTCCCGTTTTGTTCCAAGTAGCTAACTTAAATGTTCACTTTGAAAGACGAGTAACTTCGAAGTTCGTTTCGTTTCATGTTGAATAACAATGTCTCGTAAAAAAACCTTTTCGTTCTGAAGCTTCTCCAAGCTTGCTTTCACATCTTCGGTGGAACACATCAACTCTTCATCAGAGAACTGAAGTATATTCAACAAAAATTATAAAATAAACACAAAGAAACGCGTGCGCTGATTGGTCTAGAGTTGTGTTTGCATTAGCCAGTGCAAAACACATCTGAGCTCAACCAATCAAATCAATCATAACAATCAATCAGTTTTGTGCACTCTCGAGCAGGTGCAAACTATCGACCTTCGGTCACAGGCTTGCACTGATCTGCTCTCGAGTTTTCCCAAAGGTCTCCTCGGTTTGCATAAGCCTGTGCAACATAGTAAACATCTTTTATTTCGTAAAAACAACTAGATTTGTTCTGATGACATAGAAGAGAAAAATCGTGGGCAACAATAGATATGTGTTACTCGTCAAAAAATCAATGCATCAAACGCATTTATTGTTAATCACTGTAAATAAAGTAAATGGTTTGAACCCGGCAGTATCGTTACATGTTTGTAGATGTAGATCGTCCAGGTTGGTATAGACCTGAGAAAGACTCTTTTTGTTGTTGTTGACTGACGTTTTGACAACCTTAGCGGCAGTCATCTTCCGTGTCAAAACATTTGTCAGTCAACAACAACAAAAAGAGTCCTTCTCAGGACTATACCAATCTGGACGATCTACATCTACAAACATGTTAATCACTGTGTAACTTTAGCGACTGAAGTGTGTATCCCGTATGGATAGATTAGGGAGTTGTAACACCAAGGCGCGTTGTAAGATTAATGTAAAATGATAATCGGTCGAATTCTTTGGTTTAATGCCCTTCTTTACGTAAAATTAAAAATATATCATCAATAGTTCGTTGCATAGCAGCTTTTCACGTAGAACTTTAACCAACAATAAACATGAACAGTTTTCACAAAACATACTTCATAGTCAACATATAGCGTTATCTGTTGTGTACAACCATTTTAACCAACAATAAACATGAAAAGTTTTCACAAAACATACTTGATAGTCAACACATATAGTGGGAACGTTGAGTTTCACCCTATTTTCTTGACAAAGGAAGTTTTCCTGGATCAATTCCTGAAGTTGAAACTCCAGCAATTCATTACGATCGTGACTTTCAACAAGTTCCTTTGAGGACGAATAAAAAATAATCAGGGCCTCAACTCTCGTTTCATAGCTGCTCTTAAAGAAAACGTTGAGCTGTAATTAACCTTGTTTAGTTCGTCGATTTGTCGTTGAGCTTCAAACAGATCATTTTCTACTTTTCCTTTTCCCTGAAAAAAACACAACACAGCGTAACTCAAACAATAATCAATTCTTAATAAATACTTTTTGTGCTTATGTGTCAACTTACTGCGACAATTTCTTTTCTGCGGTCGTCGTTTTCTTGCTGAAGAAAAGAGTTCACTTTCTGTAGTTGAAGAATTTCTTTGTGAAGACGAGAAAGTAATTCGACATCTTGACTTTCTTCGATTGTTTCTTCGATAATCGACTGTGAAAAGAAGATCGAGGAGATTGGGGTACAAACAGTGTAATGTGTGTACAAATAGCGTCTGAAATGATTGCATAAGGTGCTTCATTACACTGCTGCTTGAGCTGCATGCACTGAATACAGGCGAAATACAATCTTCTCGTTCGTCATAACCTTCATAAAGATGAATGTCATCCATTGAACTCTAAACAACATAAATGAAAGTCATGTAATAAAAAAAAAGGCGATGGCAACATGTATAGCTAGAATGACGTTGGAAAAAATTACTCACATGGAAACTAGCAAACTTTGGACTTTTATACAATTTCTGCTTCAATATCTCGATCCTTCTGTCTTTACCCTAAAACGTTTTGCATTTACATAGCGCATTAAACCAAGGGAAATTTTTACATCAGACACAACCCATAACCACACATCAAACAAAACTAAACACCTAGCATCAGACACAACCAAACACTTCAAACCAGGAGAAAAGTTTTTTCCAAATATTTTCACTCGCTTAATTGATCTTGTGCGAACGGTAAAAATTGCTATACGGTAAAAATTGCTATAGAGTAAAAATTGCTATACGGTAAAAATTGCTATACGGTAAAAATTGCTATACGGTAAAAATTGCTATAAGGCAAAAATTGCTATCGATGTTGTGAAGATTTGCAGCAAATAATCAATGAAGCAAAAACCCGAAAACCAACAGAAAATTTACCAAGCGAGACTACTATAACCATGGCTGTAGTTAAAAACACGCAGGTTCTTGTTCATTCAACTTGTATTTTAAGGATCTCTTAACTTCATATTAAAGTTATTTGCAAAGTAGGAATGGTGACAGTAAAACATAAAATGACATAGCACAGTTTTGTCGCTTTAATGACATGTAAAAGAAAGCAATGAAATACACTTTACCTTTATAGTTTTCTCGAGTTTTTCAACAGCAATTTTCTGCTGCTGGATTTGTTGAAATGACGGATAGCCGACCTAATAAAGTAGTTATTTCATCTCATACAACACTACGTACATCACCTAGAAGCATTCAATATTACACCACTAATCATTTCTATTTCAAATTATTTCTTACAGTTTTAATCGACGATTCCGAAGAATCCACCACCACGTTAGAACTTTTTCGTCCAGAAATGTCGTCTCTACTTATTTGATCCAGTTTGTCTTTCAGAGAGTCTTTCTCAAGTTGCGATCGAATATAGTTACATGATTCGATGCCAAGCTTTTTTTCAAGATGATGAATGATGTTTGTCAACTGACGGATTTCTGTCATCTGTAAAACAAGGAAATTATTACCAGCATCATTGATGTCATCACCACAAGAGCACGTTCTTGGATAAATGGACATTTTATGTTTGACGCAGTTCGATTTGTAAAGAATTCGTTCTTTTTAAAAACGCGACCAACCTCGTTGTTATAAAGTTGTTTTAAGTCATTGAGTCGAGTTGTGATTGATTTATTTTACCCAACGCTCAATTTGATTTGCAGCTTTATCATCATCGACGTCATTTTTACCATTATGATTATCAACAGTATCATAATCATTCTAACAACTACCATTACCACCATTATCATCATTATCACCATTATCATAATTATCATAACTACCATTATCACCATTACATCATTATCACCATTATCATAATAACTACCATTACCACCATTATCCCCATTATCATAATTATCCTAACAATTAATATTACCACCATTATCATCATTATCATATTTACTACCATATCACCATAGTAATGATTACCATCATTATTAGCATTAAAATCAATACCATAATTACTACCAATATCATCATCACCAGTGTCACCATCTATCAAATTTATCGTTTAAAATTTGACGAAGGTGTGCGTACTGTCTTAAAGATTGGTAAGGATTATGTAAATGAAGAATGGAGAAATGGTACAATGACATTAATGAAACGAGGAAGATATATAATGACCGAACGTATGAACTGCGGCTGCAATATATTTATTGTAGAAGTAAACATTTTTTCAATGTAGCTACAACGAACACCATAATTCAGTGCGTGCGATCTAAAAACATTTCGTCACCTGCTTTCGGGCATCCTTCCAAGATAGTCGCCTCTGCCTAAGTATTTCCTGTTCGTGCTGCGCATGCGCTCTCCGTAGTTCGATCATCTTTTTCTTATCCGCATCCTCCGCAATTTTACATCTTTCTTCGACCTTCCTCTTTTCTTCTTTCAAATCTTCTATGCAGACCTCCAATTTCGTCACCTGTTTCCTGAACATTTTCTCAACTTCATCTTTCGTCTATATGGATAAACATGAACACAGTGATGTTTTCCAGAGTGCCAGTGGCATAACAACGGGGTGAGTAGTTGGTCAGTCAGCCCCGAGTAGCAACTCTTCTGGAAATAAATTTTCGTCATACAGAGTGTAGCTATAAAATTGAATATTATCATCTAAAATTATTGTTAATTATTAAAATTATACATATAAAATTAATTTATAGTTAAATTAAAATGCCCCGATCAGTACGCTAATCCCATAGGTGCATTATCACCACGCCTTTTTTTTCTGTTGCAATTTGAAGCTATCTCAGGCGTAGAAAAGCTTTCGAGAGCGAGTAACAACGATATGTAATCTAGTCAAATGGTTGACAATACTTTATGCACCCGAAGGCTTAGCATAGCTGGTGATAGGCATTGAAACTATCACGATACGTCAATTTCGTTGCTTCCGTTATTTTGATACACCCTGTAATTTACTTTCCTAATGAAACAAAACGAATACCTCGTTGGTAATCTGAAAACGAAGTTTTTGAAGCAAATTCTCTTGATCGCGATTCCAGTCCGACTCGCGTTTTTTCGACTCTTCATCTTTTCGCTTCACTGCAGCCGCAATTTCTTTTTCTTTCTCCTTAACGAGACGATCTTTAAGCTCGTTGAGTTCTTCTTGCTTTTCCTTATAAAATTTGCGTCGAGCTTCACTCAATACAACCTGACAGCGTTTGCGCTCTTCTTCTCTTATTTGCTTCACTTCAACGATGTGCTCTCGTCTTAAATTCAACTCGCAATTCTTCTCGTCAGAAAGTGTCGTGTGTAATTCTTGAAGGGTTTCACGAAGTCCCAAGTTCTCTGCTTCTAGATTTAGTTGAGCCATATGGAACTCCAAATCAGTTAGCTACATGCACATCTTCAATGTCGTATGCTCAGCCATCAGTGCTCAACATCACTGCACTGGTGTCTTCTATAGCACTGTACTAAATCAAAAAAATTAGATGACAAAAAACATCACATGTTGTCATTTACAAAACTCTTCCTCCAAAGTCATGCAAATTAATGAATGAAATTGATATTTTCATGCAAGTCAGTAGATGTGTGCTACAAATACTGGAAGAATAGGTAGGATTTATGAAAATGGAGGTGGGGTTGGGGGTGGGTGAAATCACTTAGGACATGCAAAAAAAAGAAACTTAAATCGCTGTTGATTTCAAATTGTTATGAAGAAAAAGTGGAAGCAGTTGCCCCCATGTTTCCCCTGGCTATACCTTTGAAAGATTGCCATCATCCCGAACAAAAAATACCAGAGTTACAGCTGAAATGATGAGAAATTAATAGACAGTTTTTGGTACCTGGAATAGTTAAAAGTGATCGACAATTTTTCAACAATTCTCTTAAAAGTGACGTACACATTATATACTAGAAAAGAGTTTGCCAAATCCATTAACAAGTACATTACATACAAGACAAAATTTTTAAAAAAAAGTTTAATTCTTTGACAGGAATGAGAAGGTTCAACACTTTATCTTGGTGTCTATCACATGATACTAATGACTTCTACAATGAAACTTGTATATATTTATATGATAATAATTTGAGCTTTTGTCTTGTTGCTTCGAGCCTTCATCAGAATGAGGAAATTACTATTTACATGTGCTTTTAGCTTGTAGATGCTTAGAGCGTCAAATTAGATTAGCAGGTTTATTTAATGTGATTGGATGGAGTGGAATGCATTGCCATGGGTTTTGGTGTATTGTGAAAATGATTGGTGTTAATATTATTAGAGTGTAATGTAATAAATAGTAATTTCCTCATTCTGATGAAGGCTTGAAGCAACGAGTCGAAACCTCAATAAAATAATTTTTAAAACAATCCGGAGAAACTTTCATTCTTTATGTATTAAATGCCTGGATTACCAATTTTCAAACTTATATATATATATTATATATGAAAGGATCTAAGGAAGTCAGTCCAGTCAAACAACTTAGTAAAAATATGGCTGAGTAAAATCATTTCATTTTTGAAGTGCCATGAAAAGTTGTTTAAAGTTTTCCAAACTTTGATTGTGTGTTTGTCAAAATATAGTTCATCCAGGACTAACGAAAACAACCTTTTGGTCACATAAACCTGCCAATATGGAAGTTGAGACAAACTAGAAGGTTAGTAAGAGCTATTAGGGAACATACAAGAAATATCTACTTCGTACTTGAAATTACGCGAAGCAAGCTTCGAAGAAGAACGGCTTCTTCCCGCCTTGAGGAGTTGAGTGAGGACGGTGAGGTTCGAGTCATAGAGAATACTTAGAAAAGATGATACATCAAACGAAAATGTCAATAAGCGTTTGCTTGCGCTTTGTACTTACATGAACGATGATAAGTTTGAACCAACTCGCTAAGCATACCATTTCAATGAAGAAAGTTTTACCTAATACTTCGCATGATGCCAAGAACTATTTATGATAGTGTTGGTTTGTTTCTTATCCCATTTTGGGATGTCCATGGTGATCAGTGTTTATTTCGTCGCCCGCGAATAGGTCGAGGGAGCCCTAATCATTGGTCTTTAGGGTGATCTATTTTTGTCTGTATGGTTACCCCTGGTGTCAAAGTACCAACCATTGGTCTAACCAATCAACTTGGTTGACGAGCTTCGATACTCTTTCACGAATTATGTGAATTAATATTTTTTGGATTTTCTTTTAATCTATGAGGTTTTTCTATGTCGGTCAAGTTTGACTTGTGGTTCATCATCAAAAACAGAGACGGCTGAACACACCGGCCGGTCCAAAAGCAACCTGCATTTCTTTCAGTAAGAGGCATCCTCTTACTAAGAACTAAACACAAGCTTCTATTACATATTATTCTTTCACTTCCTGCAGTTCATACAAAATCTTTTTTGCAACTACTGCATCAATACAATACAGTTTTGTGGCGTTTCACCATGGGCCCGCTCACAACCTCAGCATCTAAAAACTTTCTCCAGAATCACGTCAAACATATGTACAAAATGTCGGGAATATGATAAGGACAGGATGACCGCACCCCAACTATCAAATAGGGCAGGCTGGCCCCCTTCAAAAATTTAGTTTTTAATTTCAAAAGTGGTTGTTTCCTATCTCGTCTTTTTTATATAATCACAAAAATAAACTTTTTATCCGAAGCTGATTTACACGTGAAAACAGATTTGCATTTTTCGGAAACTTCTTTATGTCTAGCAACGTTTCATCGGTGAAGTACCATAAAAAAATGTTCCAGTTTCTATAGAGATCAACTTTGCTCAGTCGCATAATAAATTCATTTTACTTCTCTGACGTCACGACACAACAGTAAACAACGCAATTATATTTATAATTATATACGTTGTCTTGTAAATGAAAGTCAAGAATTAGAATTTGTTTCGTTTCTCGGTGTGATATAACAATACGTATCTTGTTTGTAACGATCGTAAGGATGTCTGACAAAGACTCGGGAAGCCAGAATGGCAGTTCCGAGTGTAGCAACGATTCACTGAATGGTGCGTCATATCAAACTCAAGAAATTTAATTAGAGTCGAGAGTGACAAAAAAACTTTTCGTTAGAGAATAGCTATTGCTGTAAAATAGATGTAATAATGGTACAATATACTTTAATAGGATCATGGGTTAAACTGGACGAGACATTTAGGTGTGGGAATGAGCGTCCATTTTCAATCCATAATGGTGAAATGGAAAATCTTCTGGCTGAAGCTGCAGATGATAAAATATCTACAGATCGCTCCCAAGAGCGGAGGTTTGGAATTAGTATGATATTTTGCGTCAGTCGTCTCCGTTTATATCAATCAATATTTTCATGACATTGTATAGTTTGTGTTCGACTCCAAGCGAAGAAAGGACGACATTGAATGACATAGAGGCTCAGCAGAAATTAGATTCAACCGTAAGATTTACTATAAATTGTTTGCAAAAGGATATTTTAACACGTAGAATGTATATTGAAAGGAATGAAGAAGCAATTTCTGGTAGGCCCTTCTATGGCCAGACATGCACTTTATAGATATATAATATAGTGTTGATAACCTAAAATCCAAGTGTTTATTTCTTGTTCATATAGAGGTTACCTAACAAAAATGCATGTGATCAAAATTGGATCGAAAATTGGGCTAGTCGTGTGGAACCTCACCCTCCAAAGTAATTGCAATTCCTCTATACTTTTGACAATGCATATTGGGTCATATAAAATTTTATACCTTGTAGGAAATGGCGTCTAACTTACCCATACAAAAAGCAAAATCATAAATCTACCAAGGTTTCGATGGTTAAGAGGTTTGAATGACAAACAATGCATCAACTGATATATTGTTAGTTTAGACTACGAGACTTTTCTTTTTCATTTTTGTAGGGAAAGAAAAGCTTTTCATGTTGACATTTACATCTTTTTACCCACTGTCTTGTTGACACATATACTTGCATTAGGGATCGGGTGAGTACACAATAGGATTGGGTGAGTATGCTAGGTGATTTAATGTGTCTGAGGATTACATAAGATGACCAATTTAAAGTTTTAAATTCACCATGAAAATTTTTTTTGTTTTTAAAGATTTTATGTTGGAAGACAAACTTCATCTGGCACCATGGCAGCCTGATGATTTCAGTGTTTATATTTTGACTATCATGCTTTTTATTTTGTGCCAAGTTCAAATTGGCATTGTTGAGAAACTCCATTTGGTTCACAGAAGTTGATATTCAAGATTTACACAAAAAATTGTTAAAAGTAAATTTTGATAGCTGAAATTTCTAGGGAGGATTTGGTTCCATCACATTAATGTAGATAAAATTAATTTCATTGGGTAAATGTCTGTAGATACGACAAATCATAAAATTTATAATGTAAGGATGCATTCTTTTTTTCAAAATTTGTAGAATTGTGTGACGTGTTTTTGTTGTATGGTACTTTGATTACTCTTGTAAGGGACGCGAAATTTGTATAACGTATGAATCATTCACAGTTTCTTTTTAGTATTTGCTGCCAATTCTAATGACGAGCAATTCAAACAAACTGCCCAAAACCCTCGGTGGTCTGACCAATAATTTCGAAGCACAGCTTTCACAATTACAACTTTCTTAAAACAAAATATCAGCGAAACAAATCGTGCGCTAAGCTGTTGTAAAAACACTGGGTCTTTGAACGTATATGGTGTGGATTGTTTCCAACTATTCAAGCTACGCTACCAGTTAAGAGGCTGTGACCGACTGTCAAAAAATAAATTTCGCCTGGTAATCATGGATTCACACTTGCACTGCAATGGTGACGTGATTTAGACCCCCTCCCATCCCTTTCCAAATGATTGCGAAATCCCATTTATTTAACTAAATCCCATTCTTCGTGACAGACTGGCCACAAAGAGGGGGCTTGGGGGCTTGACCCCCCCCCCTCTCACCTCCCCAAGATAAAGATTTTGATAACATGAATATATTTTAGCCTGTCTTGAGGCAAAGTAAGACGCAGTAAATTTAGTAAATATAAGTCGTAGCCCCAACCCCCAAAATTGTAACTGCTTATAACGGCGCATCCATAAAATGAAATAAACTAAACAAAAAAAATTAAAATGCATATGTTTACGTGGAAATCTACACTGTTGTGACTGATAATTCAAAAGTTTAACATAAACATTTGAAGTTTCTTTATGCGGCAGCTGAAGTATAACTGTGAAAAAGACATTTTAATATCATAATATAATGCTAGCTTTATCTTCTTACACACGGGAGTTTATTAATAACTCAGTGTCCCAAAAAATGTTACACTATGGTATAATGCGATGATAAGCTAACTTTCTTTCTTCAAAAGACGTGAACTTTGATATTGGTCTTCACGTTCAAAAGCGCAGTTTTATTTGAAAAATTACATATCTAAGTAACTAAAAGAGTAAGCCAAATTCTGTAAACAGATTTGAAATCTCCTTATTATCCAACATTAAATCATGCAAATTGACCGTTTAAAGTTTGAGGATTTGACATTGTTACATTTGAAGCATAATGACTTTGTCGTCCTTGACCAAAGCGATGGGTCCGTTAGGATGTGAAATCAAAATTAAATCTCTTTTTGGGAACAGATGTGTATGTCCACCAGGTATGTCAAACCGATTGAGTAATTCACCAACGGTTGATAAAATAAAAATAGCAATAGAATAGACCTTTTGAAATCTATTTCCCTTTAACAAACTCACCAGAATTGTTTCGTTGACGTAATTAAAAATGAGCGTGAAATGGGTCCAGTCCCCTCGGTTCAATGTTGCTTCTAGCTGAAGTGAGCGTTTTACCTTGCCGTCCATTGTGAGCATGTACAGAAAAATTTTGTCGACGCCGTTTTTCCAAAAAGCAAAAATGATTTCATTTTTATTCGAAACGGTAAAGCTGCATTGATCGTTGAATCCGTCAGGTCTTGCATTTTTGAATGGTAAAAGAAATTTACTGTCTTGTCTGATGTTTGTGGTATCACAAATGTACATAGTTTCCTGGTACTCGCAATAGACGAGAACGAACATGCCATTTTTGGTGACCCTCATATGAATGTGAAATAGCTTTGTGTCGATTAATTGAAGAAATTTTTCCCCTTTCACTTTGCCATTTAAATCCAAAGTTAATAATTTGTATCGACATGAATCGTTTAGAAAGCGCGACCTTATTTCCAGGAGAAAATGCACGTTGTCGTTTTCATCCACAGAAAAGGATACCATGACATTTTTGGTGCCGTCTTCGTTTTCAGATGAAATTTCGCAAATCAAATCTTCTTCGCCACTTCTTCTCGTGACAATGACACCGTTAGTGTTGTTATCGATGGCTTTTGATAAGATTTCTCCTTTGCTGCTTAATGCACGGGTGGATCTAAAAACCTTGTCAAACTTTGAGTACCAAGGAGCAAGCGCTTGAGTTTCATCAAGTTTAGCCTTCAGTTCGAGGTCATCCAATAATGGATGATAAAATTCTCTACCGTTCTCAATCATAGGCCAGTTAAATAGACCCATTTTTATATTTGTAAACCTTGCGACAAGATCATACAACAACTCGTTCATCATTTGTATTGAATTCACAATGCCATTTCTTTTCTTCTTGTAAACGCCCGCTCGTAACCGAGATCTAATTCCTTTGCCAGCGTCTAACCATACAAAAAACATCGCTTGTACGGCCGTCAAACTCTGTAATTCTTTCAAGTAGAGCAAACAATCATGAGCGGCTGCATCTGGGTCGTCTAAACCTTCGAGGATTCTGCTCGCAATGCGGAGTTTGCTCGCCATCATTCTCTCTTCTGTGCTCAGCGCTGCGTTGTTAAAAGCTTCCGTTGCCAATCTCTTTGCTTCTTTCAAAGACTCGTTCGCGAGCTTGTAACGTTTCTCTGAAGCGATTAGCAAGCTCCCCATAGCTTCAGAAAGTTCAAACGCTGCTTTTAAGGCGTCCCTTTCAGCTCCATCGCCTGGAACCAGCTTAATTTTCGTTGCTTTTGCACCGTCAACATCACACTTGTCTTTTGCTAATGTTCTTTCATGCTGGGCCGATTTACCAGATGTATCCAGAGACATGTACAATCTGTTAACTCCTTCTTTGAAAAAGCTGAGACTGGCTAGAAGATCCTTTCTCGATATCCCGTCTAGTTTTGTTTTGATATCTTCAATCTCGCGAACTATGATCTGACGGCATACTTCATCGTTAAGGTCGCCTTCGTTTAGTTTGTCTGCCGTATAATCTCGTAGTTTTTCGCATATCAAACCGAGTGTACAGTTCACTAAACCATTCAATATTGCAGACATCGTGACTTGAACCCGAAATTGTCACTAATTCGTACGACGAGTCGTCCGAGTCCCGGCCTTGAATCCAATATTGCTTGTATACACGACGAGTTTACAAATGACTAATTTTATGTACCACTTAATTTACAGAGGACGAGACTTGCATAAGTCGAGATTTATCAGTTACACGAGATCTAATTATATTAGCATATAGAAGACAAGACTCACTTATATAGACAGGAGATTTATATGGAAACTTACTGAAAGGGAGAAATTTTTAAAGCACTTTCGTGTATAACGTATCGGAAATGTGTTTTAAAGACGAAACGTCATAAACAAAAATCTTTTTACTACAAATCTTTGTAATGGCACTACATGTTGATATTGAGCTATTATATTCATTTTGAAATTTCCCTTTAATCACGACCATTTATTACAGTATAACTAATAAGTGAAAGTTGTCCAGCCTGAAATAAAGAGGCTTTTAACTGTAAATATGGAACTAGAGTATTTTCTACCAGTGGCGTGCGGTGACCGAATTTAATAGGCAAGCGCTGGGGGTGAGGTTCGCGGCAAGCCGTCTAGGGGGTCTGGGGGCATGCTCCCCCAGAAAATTTTTGGATTTTGAAGGCTACTGGAGCGCATTTCCCGCGATTTCTGGGAGTACTTTGTCGAAAAAAATGTATCTGTCATGACTGAAACAGTATTGAAAAAATCTAAAAAATTCAAAAACTTTTATAGAGTATATATCACAATTACGGTTTAAAAGTATTACATGTGGTATTGTGATATAAAGTCGTTTTAAGTAAATGGCTACGCGTGCATTTCTATTGTAGTGAAGAAGTAACAGAACGAAATAGTCCAAAATCCTACAACAGATTTACTTAAATGCAAATTCCATCCGTCTTTCCTTTGCGCAAAACTCCTTTATAACGTCCTCATAGAATCGTGGCTCCCCCTGCAAACTTACCAACATCTCCTTCTCGATTGAAATTGTAGCCAATGCAGAAAGTCGCTCTTGCCCTTGTGTACTGCGAAGATACGTTTTGATACGCTTGAGAGCCGAAAAGGATCTTTCTGCAGAGGACGTACTTGGCATAGTAAGAATGAGCTGACACAATCGGTACACCTCAGGAAAACAGGCTTTCAAGTCAAGTTCGATTATTTTTGATATCATATCAAAAACAGGTTTCGATTTGAGCTCGGCAGATGCGTATACAACGATTAGTTCACTTTTTAGTGCTTGAAGATTAAAGAATGTTCCATATGAATCTTGCAACGATTGCAGCTCTCGTTCGGGAAAATTCCGGCTGTACAATTCGTGCTTTGAATGATCCAACAAAGAAACGAATGCTCTGCTGTTTAAGACTTTCGAATCTAGAGTCAATCTGCACGACAATGGTATCGACTACACAGAAAAACATTTGACGGAAGGACGCCTTTACATCCTCTTCACTTTGCCCGCGTTTCAGTGCTACTTTGACGATACTTGACGTAAAATTCCAATAATCTACGAATTTTGTTCGTTGTTCTTGAATCTTATCTTTCGTCTCGCGAACTTTCGTGACACAGAAGACAATATCGAACTGCTTACTCTGAATGATATTATACTTTATAATTACGTAAAACTACTCAAATTTCAGGTACATTATCCGCTGTGTAATAACTGCACCTTCTTTAACCAAATATATAAAAAGCCTGTAAATAAATTCTAACACATAGAACACTCACGACTGTTGTAAATAACTTCTTCGCTAGTGAATAAAATAATCACAAAATTTAATAGCGTTCTAGTACATTGAGCTCACGTTCGGAGCTCATACGAAAGACTTGTATACAACGCTAAAATCTACCGGATACAAATATCAAAACTACTACGCAAAAGGAAGCTCTTGTCAATATCATAATCTTGTATTACATGCTACAGATAATATCTTCTACATACATAAATTGCAAGACAATAGGCGCGAAATGTATTGTAGCAGTCGTGATTATAACAATTAAGAACAGCCAGTTTCGCGCACAAAATTGGCACGGTGTGTTGCAAACTGAGGCCATGGCGTTGTTTAATGTTTATATTTTGGTATAATGACGTCATGGCAACGTGTTCTCCCGTTCTTCAAAATGTGTCTGGCACTAACTCGTACGTTTCAGAATATCGGAGAGTCGTGTTTATTATTTAGTATCTTGTACCTTTTATTTTTAGTCATTAATTTACGAATTCAACGACACAAGACTGACAAGAGCATAGTGTTTTGGTCATAATGCTAGTCATACTTTACCACAACACACGTTTGCGTGCATTTCGATATCTCTGCAGACTGCGGCCCCTGCTTGTTTACGCACATTGTGCGCAGAAAATAATAAAATAACCAGTAAAGCACCTACTACTTTGAATTAGAAATCAGAACATTACCTTTCGCTCTCAGCCATCTTTTAATAAACGATAACATTAACGGCGTGAATAATTCGGATGTCCAATGTGTTGAATATACGAATATTATTCGCGCGCTGATATGTGTTTAAAATTGCGAGCGTACAAGACTGTTGACCAATCGCTATCAAGCGGCGCCCTTAGAAGCGCCGCTTGCCTTTTCTCGATATTCCTCGAATAAGAAGCCTCCAAATCTAGATTACGCTATGAGTGAAGACTACAAGCGAAGGTTTACTCTGAAATGTTTTTACAATCTTGCCTAAAGGTAATCATTTCCCCTGTAGGTTTAGCGGGAATTTGCCCAGCAATGGGCAAATAGCCATGTAATTAAGTTCGATGTTGTCTGAATTTGATTAAATTCGCTATGTTCAAATGTTCAAATTGAGCTCCGAAGGCAAGCGCGCTTGCCTTGGTTAATAAATAAGAAATTTTTAAGGTGTATTTAATCCACTTGACTGATCTTACAAGTGTTGCAAAGTGAAACCGAAAACCACGACAGTAAATCGCGTATAAATAGCAAGCATTTCAACTGTAAAGACAATTTAGACAAAAGATTACATTGACATTGTTTAGAACAGAAAAATTTAAACTGATTTTGCTCAGAGATTGATCCAAAAAATTTTTGTTCGGTAAAATGCTTAGGCAAGCGGCGCTTGCCTACGCTTGCATGACCGCACGCCACTGTTTTCTACACGTGAAGAAAATTTAGCAATCCCAATACACTCTGATTCTTCTGAAATTTTTCTTTGTGGAACACTGGCTGAATGATATCATGAAAATTCCTGGAATCACACTGATGCTGGGCCGCTGTGATACTATTCGTTGGTTGGGATAAAAAATTTTTTGACTTTGGTTGGCGTGATAGTTGTTTCTGTAACCATGCAGTACCGTTAAGTGGAGCACCGTAAAAACCAAAATTAAGCCTGCTTAAAATCTCTGTAAAAGCAAGGATTAATTTGCTACCTATGTCTGAATGATAATTCTTTAATGACAAGCCAAATTAATATGGTGGCTGTAGCATCAATCATTTCAAATGCAATTTTTTCTGCTTTCACGGCAAGTACTTTGTCTCATGGCTCACTAAAATATCATTTAAGGTTTTTTTTAACAGCACAAATGGTTGTCAACAGGGCATTTTGCAAATTAATTGCTATATTCGTCACGTTTCTTTCACGGCATCATTTAGAAGACAATTCCAAAATTCATGGTTCACCCTCTAGGTATCTAGGTTAAACGCAATTTTGAGGTCGTTTATGTGTACAGAAAATGGCTTTTAATGTCCGTGGTCTAGTTCTGACTTTAAGACAAGGTTCTTGCCTGCAAAGCCCGTCTGAATTAACTGTCATGCGCGTGTTCGCCATCAATATCCTTTTTATTTTCCGTTTCATCGACATAGTAGTTGCCAAATAAACTCAAAACACCTCAAAAATTTACCTTTAATATATTTTGATTAAAATCTTTTCGATCTTCACCACTGCGTTTTTGCACTGGCTTTGGGGGATTTTCGCACTCTTCGAGGCAGTTTCTCCAGGGGCTCTGGTCTCACCCACAATATCATCGGGCGAAACTTCACGATCCCTTTTGAGGAATTTTTATATTCGACTGTCCTTCATTCTTCGGACAATTTTCAATAACAACTTCATTTGTTCAGTTTATTTCTTCATGGATTGAAGAAATTTGCTGAGGTTGCGTTATAATCAAACGAAACCTGCCTATGAATTTGGAAAATTGGTCAACGCTAGTTTCTGCATGGTCAGTCGTATCCATCAAAACAGTTGACGTATATATTTCAATCCAGTAATTTGCAGTAAAAAACGATTAAAAAATAATGTTACTTATCTCAACCATGTAATGCGATGTCCAATGGGAGCCTTTCACTTCCTAGCAGCAAATTTTAAAAATGCAATTTTCGTGCTACGCTAAAAACTTCATGCAAAATTTTTTTGAAAACTTTTCATTAAATACGTAACTATTAAATACGTAATTATTTCATTAAAACAAGCGTTGTCGCAGTTGGTGATATTGCAGTAAATTGCTAAATGATTGTGTTTAATTTACACAATACTTAATGCAATGTAATCTAACTAACGTTTTGATTCTAAATCTATAAACTATATTTTCGAAAACTCTCCTGGCTGATACAAAAATATTTCTTGCAAGTGGTTTTGTGAAATATTTCATGGCAGCAGAGCTTCTTCCAGAGGCGGAGAGTCTATTTTCATCCCTACTTGCTATCACTGCAATATAAAAACCAGCGTAAATGATTGAATGCGAGCCAAAATATTCTCATGGGTCTCCCACCCCCACCTCCCAAGTCCATCGTTTTGCTTTCGACAGTCATACACTCTCCCTTGTTAAGTCATCAGCCAGTTTTCAACTGCATCACCGACCCATCTTTATAGAATGCAGACATTAACATGTGAAGACGAATGACGTAGAAAACGATAACATGGCTATTGATTTCCATACCTCTATATAGGAAGGTAAGATTTCCAATTTTAGACGTTCGATCTCCAGCTTAGCTTCCCGTTGATATATTTTGAAAAACGCATTCGGTACGTTTGATGTTCGGTAGGCCATCGGGCGAAGGGTTAATATTGCTCTATTGTGGCATCATTCATCGCCGACATTCTATTGTTTCTATATACAAAAGCCGTATATATTACGTTTCAGTCTGCCCCAATTCACTCATCGGTTGGCGAAAAATCGCCAGGACAAAACACGCAACAACTGGCGAGGTTTTTGGGCAAACTCGAGCAAATACAATGTCCCGTTTCTTCACAATAACTTTGGCCACGCTCGTTATTATTTCATCAAACGACAGTCCTTTTGGTAGGAGATTTTTGAGACGTTCTCGGCAAAAGCGTGCACCGTTAGATACAAGATACATGGACATAGTAAGAGAGGCACTGCATTCTCTTGCGGTGAACAAGGAAAATAACCACAACTTTCTTCGCGCAATTCACGAAATCGAGAAAGCCCTGTCGAGCATGCAAGCAAGAAAAGCATTGCTCGCATTGGATGAGGAAGAATCTCGAAAATTCATGAAAATCTTAGAACTTTCCGCCAAGTCAGGAAATATCAAAAACTTTCGCGAAGTTCTTGGCCGTGTACTGCTTCAAAACTTAACGCGATTGCACAAAATGATCATCGGAGCTACGGACGACGCAAGAGCACTTTTGGACGGAGCGAAAGCATTTTTGAATAACATTAAGGCGAAAATAGGCCGAGAACAATTTGAGAATCTCGTTAGCATAAATGGCGAGGTAATTTGCATCAATTAACTTTTAACTATAAATTGCTATCTCGGGTTTTTTTAATCCATTCATTATATTTTTAATGTATAATTTGAGAACTGTTTGGGTTTTAACCAACAGGCATGATTCACAAAATATTATCACTAACGGCTAGTAAACTAGCGTCATGAAATACTTCTTATGAGTGAAGACTACAAGCGAAGGTTTACTCTGAAATGTTTTTACAATCTTGCCTAAAGGTAATCATTTCCCCTGTAGGTTTAGCGGGAATTTGCCCAGCAATGGGCAAATAGCCATGTAATTAAGTTCGATGTTGTCTGAATTTGATTAAATTCGCTATTTTAAGGTAACCCTGGTGTTTGTGATTGACTCGACTGGTAGTATGAAAGAAGATATCATTGCAGCCAAGGCAATCGCTCAAGAAATCATTTTTCACAAAAGGATAGTGCCAGTTGATTTCATTTTATCGACGTTTAGGGATCCAGGTAAAGTATAAGCTAGAGTCTGTATAGTCGTGCAATCTCGACGGATACATCAGCCTTTATGGTAAAGAAAACCTTTCATACGCAAGCCGTATGAAAAGACCAACTCGAGTTATAGCGTATTGGTTGTATTGTTTTAGTGTAAACGAAAGATTATTTTTAGATGTCGATCCTGTTGTGTATCACGACGAAAACCATCTCCATGATGCAGTAACAGCCATCGAAAACATAACTGCTGACGGAGGAGGCGATTGTCCCGAGATGACTTTCCAAGGAATACTCGAAGCTCTATACTACAGTCCAATACCTGGATCCGCCATGTACGTATTTACAGATGCCTATGCAAAAGACGACACGATTGAAAATATAGAAACAGTGAGCGCATTAGCGATAGATCTCGGTATATCAATATACTTCTTCACAAGTGGCGATTGTGGTGGACATTCGGAAAAGATGGCCAGATTCAAGCAGGTTTCTCAAGCCACTGGAGGACTCGTGTTTCCGTTGCATAGTTCAAAAGAAATAAAGAAATTGTCGACACTCGTCAAAGACAACATCGAAGGCGAAGCGACAGTGGATCAAAACGCAGTCGACGAGACAACGGAGAAACACTACAACATCGTCGTTGATGACACCATTACAAAGATGGTCGTCACGGTCGTGATGTCGAAAGCGAGGCAAAATATCGAGCTATTATCTCCAAACGGTGTGAAACAAAATGTGACCAAGCGTTTTTACATGAACGCCATTTTCACCGTCAAAAACCCGACGCCGGGGAACTGGACACTAAAAGTACCGTCGACGGCTGGTGATGTCGAATATCAAGTGAAGACGATAAGTAAATTAAATATCGACTTCAACTATTATTATTTCAAGTATCTGCCCAGAATGAAGAACAAAAATCATATCCCAGTGGCGCATCCTTTACTAGGTATGTTATTTCATCGTATATACGTAGAGGTGCGCACCCTTCGTAGCCTTGGTGGCCAAAGCGGTTGCAGTAGGGGTGCAAATTTCCCTCCAAAATACAAACAAACCAAATAATTAAGCAAAAGAAAGTGTAGTTAGTGTTCAATGGAGCTCACTTCCCGAAAAATCTCCCAATCATGATTGAACTGAAACAGAACATAACAAAAACAGTTTGACATGTTACGACCACAAGTAACCACGAAAATCTAATCCACACTAGAGCACTCCTCAAAAAAAACATCGTGGATCCCCCTATCCCCCCCGGTTACTTCAACAAAAACTTCCATTTAAGACTTGAAACTTCCATTTTTTGATACGATTTCAGGTGAATACACAATGGTGATGATAACCGTTCAAAAAATGAAAGAAATAGACAACACATCTTTGTCTGTCAATGTCTTGTACAAAAATGGAACTAAAGTCGAGGGATTTCAGATGCGTCGAGTGGGCGACAGCGAAATCCGTTACATCGCAAGGATCAAGGTTGACGAGGGCCCGTATCGCCTGCAGTTAGTTGGGATGACAAAATCGGGAAGTCAATTCACCCGGCTTTCTCAGTCGTATGACGAAGGAAAACCGTTCCGTTTGAGATTAGTTTACGGGCGGAAATACGTGTTGCCTTTAGGGAAAAGCGTCAATCTTATTCTCTCGATAGACAACCCGTCAATGAGGAAATATGACTTCGACGTGAGCGATAGTTTTGGTTATGCAATGGATGTGACGCCTCAAGGAAGATACACGAGAAATGGAAGACCACGGCATTTCAAACTGAGGTTTAAGGTTCCCATGAACGCGACAGAACACATCAACAAAACAAATCGCGTGGTTATTAAAGCATTTGAAAAGCAAACCCGTATTGTTAGCACCGTGATTGCTCAATTGCTTGTAACACCGACGAATTTAGACTGACAAAACTCCGCACCACTGCTAAAACGACTAATAAAGATAGTGAATGAAGGTATAGCAAAGAGAGACAACTCCCATTCAACTAGCACGTATATATACGTTAAATATGAAAAGCAGAATTTCTTAGAAGCCTGAGGATGTTTGTTCGCACGCCGTTTAGCTTAAACGATGGACGAGTAAAACGTAACATTCTTTTTTACATGACAAGGAAAACACAAACACCTGTATTCCAAAATCTCGCTCACTCCAGTGATTTAGAGCCCAATCGCATAGATGCCGGTTAGCACTATTTTCCACCCAGCAAACCGCCCTTTACTTTGAAATATAATATTTTACACAATATAATATTTTACACAATCTAATATTTTACACAATATAATATTTTATATAATATTTTACACAATCGTCGAAAAACGACATATTTTCCAGCCTGGATTATAAGTTTATAACTTAAGGTGGTTGCATGAAAATTTATACTGCAACATTTATCTGTAAATATTTTCATATGTTGATATTAAAAACTGTATTATAAAAATATAAATTACTCGCCATCTCAAAACGACCTAGCACCAGTGCATGCATGGTTTCCTTTTAGCTTTTGGTTCTTTCCCATTAGCCGCCATCTTTAATTTATTTCCGATTGTGTAAAGTAAAGGGCGGTTTGCTGGGTGGAAAATAGTGCTAACCATAGATGCCTAACTACCGCACAAGGTGAGGCCATTGAGCTCTATAAGACCTGGAGGGGCAAAGGGGCCTGGACCCCGTGGTCAAAAACATGGCGGTAATGGCGGATTTTGGTTGTCAAAACTTCCAGAGCCCTCTATTAGTAAGAGTTGGGACAAACGGTCTGGGGCGAGCGCGGAGCCGCCATTTTGGTTCCTACTTGCAAAGTTAAACTATAATAATACTATTGAAAATTGGGTTTATATGCAAAAGAAGAAGGCAATTTAAGCTTATTCCATGGTAGTATCAAATATATTAGGAATAATAGCAAGCTCTTTGCGTTTTTTTAACGATTTGCGGCAGACCTGATTTAATTTCATTGGTTTGAGCTTTGTTTGCGGTTTACTAGTTCGTGCTTCAAATTGATCGTGACCCATTGTAAGAAGTATTTTTCGTACGTGAACGTGTTTTCTCGGCTTATGTTCCGACTCTGTAACAAGTTTTCAAGATCTTTAAGCTTGGTGGCAAGCGGCAATGTTATCCTGGCATCAGTGTTATCAAATACTTGGACAAGACTTTGTTCGAAACTTCGAATCATAGTAATCATGCAGTTTTGGTCCGGAGAGATTTGTGTTCAAGATTTGTAACAATTCAATGGTAGTGAGTGGTTTATGCACCCCAATTTGATCCAAACATGACATTTTTTATTCTGAAAGATCACAAAATTTTCTTGCTCAGAATTAACTTTTGCTCAGAAAATGACAGAATTAACTTTTTAGTTATTGAAATATGCAATGATTTGACCAAGATGCATTTGGCCTTAAACGTTTTATTCCTTTATATGAAGTTATTTCACCTTTATCACTTTATAAAGTATTAAAGTTTATTTCTAATAAAGTTTGTTAGGGATTCTGCTGAAAATTTTGGTGAAGCATTTCTTTAAAATGAATATATTATTTCTATAATATGAAACATTTCTATTGTTGAAGAACAGTCTGTTTGCTATAAATGCTACTGTTTGTAGTCTTTTATACAGCATATGAGTCTGATCCAATCTTAATTTAGCAAAGAGTTAAATTTATTGGTTGAGGAATAACAAAACTTCTATATGTGTTTAATGATCAAACTGGGGTGTGTTGGAGGGAGCTCAGCCCCGTTTGTTCAAATTCTATGCCTTGTATTGCCAGTGAAATATATATATCAAAAAGCTAGCACCACCTAAATATATATCAGAAAGCCAGCAATATTTTAATATATATGAGAAAGGCAGCAACAGTTGTAATATACATTAAAAAGCCCAAATAGCTGAAATTATGGAGATATGCCTCTGTGATCTTATAAACCAAAACCTACAATTAAAATATCATCAACAAGTCTAGAAGAGAAGTAATGTTCTACTTTGAGCTACAGAAGTAGGGTACATTTGTACAATTCAATACCAAAAATATATTGTACTCAGCTGTTTCATTGAATATCCTAATTATAATTACTTCATTTTTAAATGATGAACTAAAAATACAAAATACAACATGGAAAATCATAAGAGTTTCTGTGATTTGGTGTAGTTGTTTTAGTGTGGAAGTGGCTGAGAATTGAGAGGTTTGTAGATAGATCAATTTCAGAACATAATGAGAAATCATCTTCGATTAAAAAACAAGCTTTGGAGTAAGAAAACTATTGAAACTGCATCAGCACAAACTTTCCAATGTTATTTGGCCCAAAAATGTTTCTCTACTTGAGTCAGTTAATTGAACCTTATATCAAAAGCAGTTCAGCACAACAATCACCATGCGCAATCAAATTTCGTAAGTTCGACGTAAAGGCATTTCTTTCATTTTTTTCGTAATCCTCGATTTATGCGATATGTAATGACATTTAGTAGCCTTCAACAATCAGTTATTACACACTTATCCATAAAAAAACGCAATATTATCTCAAAATACTGTATTACTAGCAGCAATTGCTATATAAACACAAGCTAAAATTTCAAAACTAGGAACCAAAATGGCGGAAATTGATCAGGTGATCAATATTGCCCAATCAACGTAAGCTGAACGGATAACAATCATTGAGTTCTATAATAACTGGAGCGGCTATCTTTACTGGGGCGAGGTCGCCAAAAAAATGGCGGCCAACGGACGTATTTCCGCTGAAATGATCGCTTTGCAGAAAAATAATATTCTCGACCTCCCCCTGGTGTCTATAGTAAATTATAAAGAATTTTTCAAAAACAAACACGATATCACAGAATATGGATATCGTTAGTTCCATATTCTGTGACGATTCTTTTTTGGCATTTCTTTTATAATGCCAACACTTCAATCGTTCAATTGTTGGATGTCGTAGTTTCCACAAAAAGGTACATATCGCTTCCCACAGGTGAGGTAGTTGTTTGTTTTGTTAGTCCGTCAACGATTGAAAAGCAATTATACATGCACTTGAAAAGCCATAAAATACATATTAAAGATCGTATTTTTTTAAGACTGACTTGAACGCCAAATATACTGATGTTTTCCTGTTTTTGTCTATAAATTTCTGCATACTTTTCTGTCATTTGTTAATGCATGAAATCGTAAATTTACCTATCTATTTGCAAAATAGTTTCCCTAAAGCAAAAAAGACCCTGCACACATTTTGCTCTGTGAAAAGTATCAAGAAGAAATGATCAGCCCCAACAGTACCTATGATTTGGAGCAGAGCTTGTTATGTTGTATTTGCTGACAACATGCAGGGAAGACCAAGAAGTAAAGATGACTGGAAGATGTTATTGATCAGGCAGAGTCTTAAAAATGATAATGCTGTAAAGATAATTGATTTATTGTCTGCCTTATCCAGAGTTATTTAATTTGATCATGGTCAAATTCTATGGATGGAGACAATGGATTCACTAATGATGCCTTGAATGCTTTGAAGTTGAAGTTCATGAACCAAAAAAGATGGCAAGAAGGTTGTGTGTTTTGATGCTTAATTAAATGTCAATTCACAACATATAAAATGGAAAGGCCATAAAATTTGTGTCTATGTAAACATTTGTACTGAGATTGATGATGACTTGATGCAGATGTGAAGCATTAAACTGAATAAGCCATTGGTTTTTATATAACATAATGTTTAAATCATGGCATATCTTTATCAAAATATTTTAGTTGAGTGTTGTTTAAATGTTACTAATATCTAATGCACTATACTGAAGCATTAAAGATTCAGTGATGAAACCTTTAAATTTACTGTACTGTATATTTCTTATATATTTCTTATATTTCTTTAAGAAACAGTTTGAGCTTATTTACCTATTAGAGTACAGAATGGGGATTTATCATATGCATCATTGCTGCTTTTTTAAAGAAAAGTTTTTCACTTTTCAAAGCTTTTCAACAAATTTTTTGCTTCTTATTTCTTATCATGAGATTGATGATATAGAGGTAATATAATCCAATAACTTTCTAATTTCTAAAAAGCTTTTAAGCTTCTAGCATAAAAGTACACTATAGGAATGTAATTCATTTGGTTATATTGCCTTGCTATGACATATCTACTTGCACTTCATCATTCTTGTATGAACAAAACACCAGATGTGGATACTCAGAGAACAAAATGCACTACCAACTGCTTATGAAATTTATTATTGAGGTGAAGACTGTGTTAATCATTCAAATTATAGTGCACTTATATTGCAAATATAGGAAAAACAAAACAAAGTGAAAAAGAAAGGTAGAAGTATTAAAACTACAAATGAATTATAAACACCATTGGAAGCATAAGTGTTTTGATGATTATTTGCATTTTGCCCAATTCATATATCAATACAACAAAATCAAAATGTGCTACAACTTCACAAGTATTTGATGCAGTTGCACTTCAGAACATCACAAAAAGGTTACTTAAAGTAATTTCTACACAATATTGTTTGTTTTATTTACCAAACCTATGCAGACTTGAGTCTTTTTGAAATTTCATATGAAACTCAATTACAGAAAATCCGTAAATATCCAGAGATTTAATATGTACTTTTTTAAAGAAACAAGTAAAAATCCTACAATTGTGGCGAAAAAAGCCATTGCCCATTGCATGAAAAGAAGCAAAATAGCAATGATAACAAATAAGCTGACTTCTCTCTCGTGAACCGTGGAGATGAACTATGATATACTTTTTTGTATAGACTAAAGAGTTTAATCGATCAAACAAGTTTGACGCTGGTAAGAAAACGACGCATATCTGCATTCATACATGTGTAACCGATATATAGGTCTTTCATCGATAGTTATAAATGCATCCTCGTAGCAGCAGATAACTGACAACCACAGTTGACTCGCTGTTATGAATTTAAGGTTTTTACCTTGATTTTCAACAAAAAATTGCTTGCCGAATCCCAAATACACACATACATTTTCCTCACTCTTGCCTCAGGAGGGAGTGGGAAATTGTGAAATTTTCGGAAAAGCGGTCAATTTCGGTAAATCTCAGCG